TTTAGTATATACTTATACTTTAGAAATAACTTGATTGTAAAACAATACACTTACAGTATACATTCCTGCTCAGGATATATACTAATTATGAAATAAACTTAAGTTGAACATAATTTAAATTTAAATAGTTTTTCTATAATAGAGCACTGAAAGGGGTTGGATATATGTCAACAGGTATTCAGAGATATATAATAGATGAACATATCAGAATATAAAAAGGCTGCAATCCAATAATGCACACCCTTTGTGGATGTGCAGTGTATATAGTTCAATATTTTTATTATATCCTGCAGAAGTCATGAAGTTTAGTTTGACTCAACAGGAATAAATCAAAATGTTAATAATGTAGATGATGTAGAACAGAAATTTCCTCCACTCATAAAATGTCTTTAAATCCAAAGTATTTTATATACTGGCTTTTAATATGTGTGTGTGTGTGTGTGTGTGTTATTATTATTCACTTTCTCTGAGAAATTTGTTCATATTTAGTTTAATCTTTTAATAATTACTGTTTAATTCAGTTGTCATTTTACATTGCCTTAATATATTTAATTATATATTTTCAAATCTTTGCAGGACAGAATGTAGAACAGAAATTTCCTCCACTCATGAAATGTCTTTAAATCCAAACTATTTTATATACTGGTTTTTGATGTGTGTGTGTGCATGTTATCATTCACTTTCTCTGAGAAATGTGCTCATATTTAGTTTAATCTTTTAATAATTACTGTTTAATTCAGTTACCATTTTACATTGCCTTAATATGTTTAATTATATATTTTCAAATCTTTGCAGTCCAAGGCCAACAAAGTTTACAGAACGGCCAAGACCTGGAGTCCAAATGATCTGCTCTTCATTTAGTGCTGGTAAATTGCATAATTCTCCTCCCCCAAATTAATTGTATTATTGGAGTATAATGAAAAATATTTACAATTAAAAAATGCCCACTATGATCTTATTCACGTTAACCACAAATGGCAATATTCTTAACTGATGCGTAGGCGCTTTACCTGCATGTTTGATACATTTCTATCCTGCTTTTCTTTGGAGAGCTCAAGGTGACACACATAAATTCCTTCCACAGTTTTTCCATAACAATCCTATTTGGTAGGAGAAATGCCCACCCATTGAGTTTTCACTTTGCCTTCAGCAGCACGCTGGTTCTCAAATATATGGTGCCTGTGAAAGTTTAGAAAGAATTATGTAATAGTGTCAGAGTCCATCTTGCTCTCTTGAATTCTAATACTTAACTGAAACCCTTTTGTGTAATAAATATAATTTTTAGTCATGTTGCGTTTCTTCATGGGAGAAGCATCCTGGAATAAAGTTAGGGAAATAGATGTATGATTGTGGTTGAGAGTCAGTATGGTATACTGCTTGTTTGCAGTTGAGTGGAACTAATGTTAAAAGAACACATGGTATAAAATTATAGTACTATAGTAAATCTCCTTAGCAAATTAATAATGATATTTCTTTCATGTTTGCTTTTCTTTAGGTGGAATGTTTCTGGCCACCGGAAGTACAGATCATATCATTAGGGTTTATTTCTTTGGATCAGGTCAGCCAGAGAAGATATCAGAGTTGGAGTTTCATACTGTAAATACCTTCTCTAAATTGTTTAGCTATTCGTTTGAAGTAAATTAATAACCTATAGTTATGTTGTTAATTTTTTCTTGTTCACATAGGACAAAGTGGACAGCATTCAGTTTTCTAATACTAGTAATCGGTAAGTAAATTACTTATATATTATATATGTTTCTCCCATTATGTTTAGGAAAATTGTACTGTTACATAGTTGTTAAAATTCAACGTGCTAGTTTAATTATCAAGTTTAATTTTTTATCTAATTAGACATACGTTGAGCATTTTCTTTTATTTTGCATTCTGTAACATAGTTTATATTATATAGAACTTATTTCCCATTAAATGTACATGATGTTGTCCTTTAATTAATATTTGATAGCTTCAGTGTCTGATTTTGGTTGAATTACTTAAGTAGCCTAAGATTTGTTTATGAGAAAGATACTTATGAGATACACATTTCACAATATACTTTGTTTCTGAAAGGTCTTGTAAGAAAGTTTTCATTAATTCCATTGATACTTGCTTTATATTCTTGCATGGATATGTGGGATTATGTCAGGCTTGACAAGGTGCTTTGTTTTGAAAAAAACTTCAATAAAAACGCACTGTTAAAGCAGAAATCTGTTTTGAAGTAATACATCAAATAAGGTAGCTACAAAATGATATAAAGACTTGAGATTTTCAGTACACCAGGAGTTGCAGTAGGCACATAATACATTGTAACATCATTTCTTGATGTAAATGATGCCAAGGGGATCTTCATTCAGTTTTTCAGATTACAACTTCTTTTTGGTGGCCTGTTAAAAATCCTAATTTTACTGTTTCTTGTGCTAATGGAATATTACACAGTTAGGAATTTAATTTAGCTCTCACTCTGAATATGGATTGAAGGCTGTTCAACCTGGTTGGTCCATGCTATTGGATGATGAAGCCTTACTTAAATATTTGGCATGATTGGGCAAGGTTTATGTCTTATGGCAAGGAGGAAATGGATACTGGAGTAGCATCATCAAGCTTGCTGGAATGTTTACTGTTTGTTTTTTAAAGATTAGGAATAACAATGCTACTTTCTCTGTTCTACCTTTTTTGTCTTTGGATTACCTATCTTTGTGAGATATTTTCATGATGTCTTTCTGCTAGAACAGGGGTAGGCAACCTTGGCTCTTTTATGACTCGTGGACTTCAACTCCCAGAATTCCTGAGTCGGCTGACTCAGGAATTCTGGGACTTGAAGTCCACGAGTCATAAAAAAGCCAAGGTTGCCTGCCCGGTGCTAGAATATTACCATTGAGTCATGATTGCATATATTAAGTATCACAGTGATTAAGGAATTTCCTCCCAAGAGGATACTTATAAAGCCAACTGCCCCAAGTTAGTAATACAGATAGTCCTTTGAGCCAAAAATTTCTATTGCTAAGTGAGACATTTGTCAAATGTCAAATGCTCCATTTTCTTGCCACCATTGTTAAGTGAATCACTGTAGGTGTTAAGTTAGTAATACAGTTGTCAAGCGAATCTGGCTTCCCCATTGACTTTGCTTGTCAGAAGGTTGCAAAAGGTGATCACATGGACCCCAGGACACTGCAACTGTCATAAATATGAGTCAGTTGCGTAGTGTCTGAATTTTGAATTCAGGAATAGCAGTACTACATAAACATATTGATAGTAACATATTCTGTTAAATATCTGCAAATTCTAGAGTTGATTAGATACTTGAATAAATAATAATAATACTCTTGACTAGAGTTTCAAGGTCACCAAACACAGGGTAATCAATCAGTAGGCAAGAGTATTTCCGTATCAGTATTTCACAGCTTTAAAATGTCTTGTGTGTTACTTTCTCATTTCCAAAATCAAAACAATACTGGACATGATTTCTAGTGAAGTGTTTAATAACAGTGTAGGTTTATTTGGAGTAGGCAGTCTTTCAAGAATCTTGGTATCAAAGCCAGGATCTGAAAAGCTGGTGAGGGCTTTATGGGCCAATACCTGCACTTTGAAAAAGAAAAGAATGAAACCCAGTGGTGATGATTAAGAATTGATCTTGAATTTTGTTGCTTGTAATTTTTCTGAACTAGCAGCAGTTTGGCTGTAATTACTATTTATAAACTAATTTTAAAAACTTGCAGATGCATACATTATTATTTTTTAAAAAAAATAATTAAAAAATTGTAATACAGTATTCGGTTGCTTTTTATGTTTCTAAATTCTATTGTACACAGACTCACTGACTCATTTCCTGGTATTTGCCTTGTCTGTATTACCTGCTTTGATTTCCTACATTTCTTCCAGGAGTTTCACTATCCAGTGCCTTTTATTTTGGATATCCTCATGTTTTAATCCCATTCATTTGGTTCCTAAAATTTATAAACCTGTAAATTAATTATATGTCCTAATATTGCTAGACTACATTTTGGATTTCTATGATCAGTTTTAAATGTTTGCATGGGAAAACATATGCTGTATGAGGATATATATTTTCTATTTTGTTTAGATTTGTGAGTGGAAGTCGTGATGGAACAGCACGTATCTGGATGTTCAAGAGAAGGGAATGGAAGAGCATTTTACTGGAGATGGCTACTCGTCCCTCAGGGTAAGTTATTTTTGTATTTATCTACATATAATATGGTTATTGATGTTAAAGTAGGAATAATTTTGTGGTAAGGGAACAAGCTAGGTGTCATGGTTCCAACAGACAGAGACAAATAAAGCAGAACTCCGAGGCTTGGAAATTCCTCAAAGAACATGTTTATTAGTTACAAAATATTGGCACGTCAAAAGTGAAACCAAGTCTGAAGACACACTTAACAATTCCCCAATACAAAGTAAGAAATCCCACCCCTAAGGCTATGCAAGCAACTACGTTCCCCAATACATCTTCTTGGCGGGCTTTTCACTAAACGCCCAACCTGCAGCCTCGGGAGCAGCCGATGACCTTGGTTCCCATGGGACAAAGGTTTATTTTGACTAGCGAAGCACCTGGAAATCCCCCCTCCCTTCTTTCAATGCGTCAACCGAAAATGAATAAGGAAGATGGCCGCAGCCATGCTCATTTTCAAAGTTGACACTAGGACTATTTCCCAGATTTCTTTCAATTTTGAGTTTGTAGTTGATGCAGTGAATTCCTGACTCTTGGGAAACAAGATTGTTCTCTTGAAAGCACGATGGGTGAAATGGAGAGATGAGTAGATGAGTTTTGCCAGGATTTAGTAGTTTTGTTCTACTTCCAGAATCACGGTTCCCTTGCTGTCATTTCAAGAAAGGAAGGACCCAATATGAGAGAGCTTTTAGTTATTTTAGTTAGTGATTTAGTTATCAGTAACACAGAGATGGATTTATTATGGTTCTGTCAATTTCATGGTGATATAAAAAATGCAGATAAGACATACTGTTTAGATATGCTGCTGGATAAAGATGGGTAGGAGGCAGTAGTTCTGTTACACAAAGGCATTGAGGACTCATTGAATGAGTTTACCAAAAATGTAAATATTGCAGAATATACAGCCTCATGCTATATAACTCAGCTCCATTTCATGCTGAATAAACTAAATTATTAATGTATCTTAAATTGAAAACTACCTTTAGATAGATTTTTACTGCAAAAGCATTTTATTAAAATAAATTTGATAAAAATAAAAAAAATCCTATTTAAATTTAAAAAATCTGATTTTTTCCCCCAAAAATTGATTGTTATCCACCCTGAAATATAGTATAGAGTTTTTTTTTCCAGATCCAGAACTTGAAGTCTTAACCATTTTCTTAAAAGTTTTACAAAACTGAATCAAAAGGAAGTGATTTAGACCTGATTTCACCAAACATATCTAACATAGATGTTTCTGCTACCCAAAAATTGTAATAATGCTACAAGAATAAAAGGAGGCATGTAGCAGTGAAACAAATAATTTGGAAACTAGTTTTTCTGAACTCTCACTGAGTCGAAGGCCCCTAAAGGCGACCATAATCAAGAGGAAGATTTAGGAAACTAAAACTTTTCTCTTTGAAATCCACCAAAAGCTAATATATATCATCCTCTCATCTTTGTTTTAAAAAACCCAAACCAAAGACTGTCAGATGGGATTAGATCACACGTGGGACATAATTACTTTCTGTGAAGATGATTCCTGCCCAATTTCTAAATAGTTTATTAAGTTTATGAAGGAAATTTGACACCTTTGGAGGATTCAAAATACAGGTTTAACTACAGGTAGTCCTCACCTTATGACCACAAGTGAGCCCAAAATTTCCGTTGCTAAGGAAGGCAGTTATTAAATGAGTTTTGCTCCATTTTATGATGTTTTTGCACAGTTGTTAAGTGAATTACTGCAGTTGTTAAATGAATCATGCGGTCATTAAGCAAACCTGGCTTCCCTCATTGACTTTACTTGTCGGAAGATGGTTGAGAAGATTACAGATGGCAATCACATGACTCCATGACAATGCAGTTGTCATAAATACATGCCAAGTGCTCAAATTGTGATCCCGTGACTGAGAATGCTTCAATGTCGTAATTATAAAAAACAGTCATGATACAAATGATTGTAAGCCGAGGACTACCTGTGATCATATCTACTGTTTGATAAATAGATAGACATTGCAAATACAATCCAAGGGTCCTTAAATAAAGAACATGTCAAGGATAAAATGTGGATTTGGGGGCTGTGGTCTCTCTGGTTAATGGCATACTGTGTGATTAGAATTTTACTATTTCTTGCTCCTCTCTGAGAAGGGAAAATAGTGCCTGTTTGCAGGCATGGAACCTACTGTTCTACAGTACCTCTATGAATGAATAAAAGTGCTAGCCTTGCTTAATTCTCTTTTTGCAATCTCTTGGGTACAGTAATTACAAGTCATAAACCACGGCAGCAGAAAAGTGTATAACTTCCCCACTTTGGCCCACATGAACTTACTAGTGGGACTTGCATAGTTATGGTGATTTTCCTGTCCATTGTATCTCATTCCTAATATTGATAGGCATGTTATAGTCATCCACTAAAACTTTTAAAATAAGATCTTTTAAAATAATCTTTAACTCTATGTTGGAAATTTTCTCATTGTTATAATGTTTCTATGTTCTGTTAATTCTTTATTGTAGGCAAACCCTACAAGGAGTAGAAGACAAAATCACAAAATTGAAAGTCACTATGGTGGCATGGGACCGTCATGACAACTCTGTTATTACTGCAGTTAATAACATGACTTTGAAAGTTTGGAATTCCTTCACTGGTCAACTTACTCATGTTTTACTGGTAACGAAACAATAGGATCAGTTACTTTCTGGAGATAGCTCTGTCTTCCTACAGTATTGATAATCAGTTAAAATTGAGGTGTTTTGGTTATATACTTAGTATAGAATTTAAATTTCAAAATAATATACAGTAAAATCTTTTTTAAAAACACGTAATACATTCTTGAGTTTTTTGCATGATTTTTTGCAGATATGATAATCTTAACAATTTAATGTATGTGTTTATGCATGAAAATAAACATTTTAAGATATTGTATATATGGGAGGCAAAGGCTAATTTACATGTAATGATAAACAAGCATTCTTTCGAATTCTAGTTTATTGTGGTCAAATAAACATATTAATGTACACTGTTCATTTGATTCTTTTTGGTTGTTCTTGGCAGCAGGAATAATTATATGAATTGGGAAGCCTTGCAGTGGATGAGAATTTGGATCCTTAAACTGGAGGCCTGGTTTCAAATTCTGTCCTTTTACTAGAGAAACTGTCTAGAGATTGTGGTTTACATGATTATTAAACTACTGATAGATTTCTTCTGTTTGTTTAGACATTCCTGCTGGTAGGAGAGCCAAAGTGGGGTAATATCAGGTTATAGTTGAGGATTCAAAGAACATTCACTATTAGAAATCCTACTGTTTAATTATATTCCAGTAGTTTCAACAGCTGAAGTTCCTACAGTTCTTGCTGGACTGAACAGCATTTTGTTGTCAAAATTTGTATATTGCAAATAGCAAAATCTGATGATTATTTTCTTCTATTCTTCAGTGCTGCATTATCTCTTCTTTGATTGATTGGCTGTATGGATGAATATTTTTTGTTTTAGTAAATTGATTCAATGTCTTCAACTGAATTGTATTTCTAACTTTTTAAAAAATTATTCTAGGGTCATGAGGATGAAGTATTTGTACTTGAAAGTCACCCTTTTGATCCCAGGGTTCTCTTCTCTGCTGGTCATGATGGAAATGTTATAGTATGGGATTTGGCAAAGGGAACAAAAATTCGTTCTTATTTCAATATGGTAAATATATTATTTATATTAATATGTTATCAAAGCTAGTTCTATCTGTTACTAATCTAATACAAAATGATAAAGTTGTGTGGTAAATATTTAAGCATTCATAGTAAGCAAGTAAAAAAGTAACTTTACTTTTACTTTTACTAAAGTAAAAAACTTTAACTTTTTTACTTTAAATATTTTGAAAAGGTAATTAAACATCTCAATTTATTAATAATAGTAATGCCAAGAATAAAATTTAATTCTGCTCCTCTTTGGAGCTCCTCTTTATTACTTGGGTAATAAGATATATGCAAGTAGTTCAGAAAAGCTAGCTCCAATTTTGTGCTCTCCCAAAATTTCCAGAATATCTGGAATGTGCAAAATGAGGAATAATGGTTTTAGATGATAGTATATTAGTTAAACTTTTGTGACAGCCCATCCTGTTACGTATATTTAATCCTCAGACTATTCAGACCTAGTTTATAGCTTAGATTAAATCAGAATAAATGTAAAGATATCTTGGGCCTTCAGAAAGAAATTGTGGAAAAAGTTATGAAGCTGTCCCCCATCACTATGAGGAGCTTCATAGTTTCCCTTATTCACTGTGAAGATCTGAACAGAGTGTCTTCATTCAAGTTGTACATCAATCAGCAATGTTTATAATTAACCATAATTATAAGCACAAGCAAAATACAATATATAATCGGAAAAGTACAGTTTAACACTTCACAACAACTCAGGCCCTTCAATTATCTAAGGAATTTGAATGGTTTGGCACCATTATATTCCAAACAAAAAAAAAGTGTTGTAGAAATTGGATACAGAGTAAGCACATATTTTCCTAAGCCCGTGCATCTGCTTTATAAGTTAAGGGAAATATGCAGTCTTTTGAAGGGTTGTTGACAGATATTGTGAGAGTGTTTACACTAGACCTATAGCATCTTTGTTTACTTTAGATCCAAAGACTTTACACTTCTACTTTGGAATTTTATAGCCATGGTTTAGGTGGATCCAGAATATTATAAATTGTTTAGGCTTCCTATATTAGCCATTGCTTGTTCAAAGAATAAAGCAAATTAGTTCATTGTGCACATAAAAAATAGTTCATGCTGTGGCTTATTAAGCTGGGATACAATAGACCAAAAGAATCATGTTCTATTTATCTAGAACAGTTTTACTTCTAATAGTTTTAATCCTGGGATATAAAGAATCAGAAATATGTTTCCCTTTTGTAGTTTGTATGTATATTGCTTGTATTTTGATGAATTCCATATTTAAAAGAGTGTTGAAATGTTATAATTTTAAACTGTCCTTGGATAGTACGCTATCTACTAATTCAGAGCAAATGGGTTTTTGTAAATCGAGCAGAAGCTTCTGGTGCACAAGGTAACACCTTATCTCATTGCTACTGACAAAAGTGTTTGCATTTTTCTTTTTTTTTTTCACACACACACACAGGCAAAATAGAAAAATGTTTTTAATCAAAGGATTTTGCTTTTACAGATTGTGGGTGTTATCATAAATTTGATGTAAATGTAGCAGACAGCAGTACAATTTATGGGAAGTCTTCCTTTAGACATGAACTATTCAACATTTTGATTGCTAATCAGTACTATTAGCACATTAATAAGGAAGCTTGTAAGACATGCTTGACCTTAGGCTGTACTATTTAATTTCCACATGAAGGGAAGGCCTATTGCATTAAATATATTTACAGTAAGGATATCCTAATGAAAAGCTTGAATCCCAGTGCCTCAATGGTTATAACCATGTGGCTTTCTTGGCAACAGTATGGATGTGGTTTCTGCTGTTTATTTGCTTCCTAAATTGGTTTACAACTCCTGTATCATCTGTTAATCTCTCCCATTAGATCAGTAGTGTTGGTAGGCTCTTGCTGCTTTCATCAGAATGACAAAAACAGTTTTGCAAGTGCCACCCTTTTGAGCATATGTCCACCCAACACAAATAGAAAGTTAGCTTGCAGTGTGATATTGCTTACATTACTCTGGCTCTAGCCAAGCCTGACCCAGTTTTATCTTTCAAGCTGTAAAGTCAGCCAGATGTGCTAAGTAAACGTGCATCATCTTCAAATTGAAAATGTCATATGAAGTTAAACTTGTTCAACTGGGCAATCAAATGTATCTTCTGAGTATCACCTCAGTTAAAATAGGAACTCTGAAATATGAAATAGAAAAATGTTCTTAATGTTTTTTTCTTTGGATTCAGCACTGTGAATATAAATGTATTATAGAGGAGAAATATATTTCATGAACTCATTTGGATTCCTGCCATCCTGTATCTGTGGGAGTTTAGATCAAATTTGCTTGTTTTTTAAATGTGTTTTCAGAAGTAGATTCTTGAAAAAGTCTACTGTTTAAGAAATAGCAAGATGCTTAGAGTCAAAACAGATAGGTAGAATTTTGGAGAACACCACTACATAAAAATCTTGCCCTTATAATGTATAGCTATACATTTTACTTATACTAGTGGCAATAGAATAGTTCAAGCTGGCAATATTGCTTAAGAGACATATTTATATTTTAATAATGGCTTTCCAATAAATTACTGCTATTATGATCCCTAGCTTTTTATTTCAAAAAGTATGAACATTTCTTGTGTTCTTCACTATTGTTATATTTATAAACTTAATTCATTAGATCACATTATAATAAGAATTTCTTAAATTTTAGTGTAGTAAGTCATTAATAGTGACTTCTTTAAAAAAAGAAATATAAAATAAAAAAAATAGTTTAGGTCTAAGTATATGGAATCCAGTCAGTCTTAATGAGACACGAGTAAGTTTCCTGCATGTAGACCTCTTTTCTTCTTTTGTGTGAATATGTGAATGAAACAAGAATTTGCTTGTTTCACGGATCATGTTGTAGGAGAAGAGAAGGAGCTTGTTGATATCTCAGTTTTAGTTTCTATTTTTATGACTTTAAGAATCTTTCTAAGATGTGTCCCTAAACAGTGTACTATTACTGAAAAGCTGCTCTTTCTGAACTTTATTCACCAATCAATTCAGATATAATGAAGTAATAAATTTGATAGAAGGCAGTTTCTTACATTATAACTTTTTAAATCTGGAGAATACTGAGAATTGCATTTTAGGGTTTAAAAAAAAGTTAGCCAGTTTTATTTATATACTAGCTGTACCCGGTCACGCGTTGCTGTGGCTGAGTCTGGTTAAATGGAAAAGAAAGAAAAGAGAAAGCGCACGTTTGTGTTGCTTTTACGTCCAATAGATGGCGTTGTTTTTCAAAAAACATGTTTTTACCTGTCACAGGTGTGACATCTATATAATATAGGTATATAAAAACACACGCGTATTCGAATGCAACTTTGTGTCAACATTTCAAAGCAATCGGTGAAGAACTTTCGGAGATTTAAGATTTTGAACAAACGAACATTTACATTTTTATTTATATAGATTTTTTTCATCCAAGAAATGTCTGGGTGCATATAGTTTTAAGGGATGAGGGGAAAGGCCCTAAACTTCCCTTATTTTTCTGCATCTCTGTTTCATATATTATATGCGAGTTATAGTGGATATAAAAAGTCTCCACATCTGTGTTAAAATGCCAGGTTTTTGAGATATAAAAAAAATTAAATTACTTCAGAATTTTTCTTCCTTTAACATAACATTGAAGCTTCACAATTCAATCGAATAGCTGAAATCCTTTAAGGAGAACAATAGCAAAAAAATGTACAATAACTTGTTTGCACAAGTGTGTACATCCTTAAATTAATACTTTGTTGAAGCACTTTTTGATTTTATGACAGCATCCAGTGTTCTGGGGTTGGCGCCTATCAGCATTCCACATGTTGTCTTGGGAATCTTTGTCTACTCTTTCTTGCAAAAGCACTACATGTTACATTGTGAGAACATCTCTTGTGCACAGCCCTCTTCAGGTCATCCCACAAATTTTCAATTGGATTCAGGTCTGAGATCTGACTGAGCCATTCTAAAACTTTGATTTTCTTCTGGTGAAGCCATTCTTTGTTGATTTGGAGGTATGCTTTGGTTGTTGTGTTGAGAGTTGAAATTCCTCTTCAGCATTTTAGCAGAGGCCTGGATGTTTTGTGCTCAAATTGACTAATATTTGGAACTGTTCATAACTCCTTCCACCTTACCTAAAGTCCCAATTCCAGTGGACAAAAGCACCCCCAGAATATGTTGCCACTACCATGCGTCACTGTTGGTGAGGTGTAGCGTTGGTTTCTATGCCAAGCATCCTTTTGGAATTATGGCTAAAAAGTTCAACCTTGGTCTCATCAGACCATAACACATTTTCTCACCTGTTTTTGTCAGACTTGATGTAGGTTTTTGCAAAATGTAATCAGCCTTGGATGTTTTCCTTTGTAAGAAAATACTTTCATTTTGCTACCCTACCCTACAGCCCAGACATATGAAGCATATGGGAGATTGTTGTCACACCTGGTATATAACCAGTACTTGCCAGAAATTCCTGCAGCTGCTGTAATGTTGCTGTAGGTTTCTTGGTAGCCTCTTGAACCAGTTTTTTCTTTTTTCTTTTCAATCAATTTTGGAGAGACATCTGGTTCTTGGTAATGTCACTGTTGTGCCACATTTTCTCTACTTGTTGATGACTGTCTTCATTATGTTCCATGGTACCATGTTTCCCTGAAAATAAGACCCACTTATATATTTTTTGTTCCAAAAGAGGCATTAGATCTTATTTTCAGGGATGTCTTATTTTTTCTACTGTCTCACCTCGCGGCAGTGACACCAACAACCTCGTCCAGCAGGAGCCCACATGGCCCAGTTCTTCTGTAGCCTCTCACCATCACTTGTGCGCATCGTCCTGGTCTCCCTTTTTGTTGGCAAAGGCCTTCAGGAAAGGCCTCTGCAGCCGAGAACGGAGCCTTGGGTTGACAGGTGTATCACCGCCCTGCCTCCATTTTGCCAGTGAAACAGAGGTCGGGGCAATGCACGTATCAACCCAGGGTTCCTTCTCGGCTGCAGAGGCCTTTCTTGAAGGCCTCTGCTGGCGAAACAGAGGCAAGGTGGGTGACACGTGTGTTAACTTGGGGCTCTGTTCTCGGCTGCAGAGACCTTTCCTGAAGGCTTCTGCCGATGAAACGGAGGCCGGGGGTGACATGCACTAGCGGCGGCGAGCGGCCACAGAAGAAGTGGGCCAGCGGTGGCCATGTGGGCTCCTGCTGATCAGGGTTGTTGGTGCCGCCGCGAGGCGAGGCAGGTATCGGGGTGTGAGAGGCCTGGCTGTGGGGGCCCTGAAGTAAGCAGGTGCAGGGCCCTTGGGGCAGTTCCACCTCCTCCCCCACTTGCCTTGCCTCATCTTGTGGCGGCACCGCAAACAACCAGATGGAATGGGCAGGCGGCCAGCTGCACAGGCTCTTAACTAGGGCTTATTTTGAGGGTAGGGCTTATATTAGGCGCACATGTAAAAATCAAGCTAGGGTTTATTTTCAAGATAGGTCTTATTTTCAGGGAAACACGGTATATCAAATGTGTTGGAAAAAATTTTGTATCCTTCTCCTGACTGATACTTTCCAACAATGAGAGCCCTTTGATGATTTGTAAACTGTTTGCACATCATGGCTTTTGCTGTAAAAGGCAACTGAGTAAATGTTAGAAAAAACCTACTACAACAGCTGAACTTTTATGAGTTTGATCAGAATCACTTTAATTGATGGCAGATGTATGCTGACTATTTACCATCAGTTTGAATATGATTGATTAATTCTGAACACAGCCACGTCCCTAATTGTAAGGGTATGAACACTTATGCAACGTTATTGTACACTTTTATTGCTATTTACCCACCTAAAATATTCATTTGTTTTGCAGTTGAATTATATGGCCTATATGTTATATTAACGGTGGGAAAAATTCTGAAGTGATTTATCGTGGTGTGATTTTTTACATCTCAAAAATCTGACATTTTAATAGGGGTGTGTAGACTTTTTATATCCACTGTAGTTTTCAATACAAAGTTGTAAAGTATGTGAAAGATTGGACTGAATTTTTGGTGCTTGGTGCAATTTTTAAATTGCACATTATAGATTAGAGTAATATAATGTGATCCAGCTGCTCTTTCAACTTTTTTTGCAGAAATACTTTTCTATGAGTTTTTTGCAACTCCAAAATAGGCAAAAAAAAGCCCATACAGCCTTCATACAAATATGTATACAGCAACAAAACTAACACACTTCAGTTCCTGTCTTTTGTTATAGAGAGATAATGAGAGAAAACAAAATATTCTGATTCTATTGATTTGTTGAAGCTATATTGAAATAAGGTAATGCATGTCCTCCAAATTATTTAAAAATAGGAAACTAATTGCATTATATGCTGCATAAGAAAGCATATATGACCATCAGCAGCAATTTTTTTATAGGCAGAGAATGCTATAATTTTAAGTTTTTTTTAAAAAAAACTTCTGATACACAAGAAAAAAAATCTAAATATGCCCTTTTCTTCATATTAGGGATTTTTTTTTTGTCTCTGAGTCATAGCATGACATAACTGGGAACTACATGGACAAGCCTTACAAATTACATGGACAAGCCTTGCAAAGAATAGTGAATAGGAACTTTTTCTAAATCCATACTGTATTACTTGGAAATCAGTTCCATTTGATACAGTAGAAATATGATGAAGTACAGTAATATATCTTTGTTACTTTGAAGCACACCTAACTTTGCTGCAAACTTCTATATATTCAGAAATAATCTAATATTATTAAGATCATGACATTTTAGTAGACTATCCACATCTGACATAGTATATAACCTAATACACTTTCTTTTGTCAGGACCTTAACTTTATAGTAAAACAAAGGATTCCTTATCACTTTTTCCCCCTGGGATTTTAATGCTCAGCTGGTTAGATTTATAGAAGGAAAAATTTATTCACTTTACGTGCATTTCTGCTTCATAGCCTTCCCATAGATAGGAGGAACAGATATTTGCTTACTGCTACCAAAATTATCGGCAACTAGGAATATTAGTAGGCAATGAAAGTTCAGAGTGGTGATTGGTCACCTGTGCTTGATTGACAGGTTACAGGGAAAAACAAAAACCCATTTGTTCTGGATTAATGGAAGTGGAAAACAGAAAATAAGTATCAGGTAAAATTCTTTTTAAAATATTTGGAGTTCTTTAGATGAGTTGCAAGCAGTCAAATATAGAACTTGTGTTAAACTGAATAAACAACTGGTCCATCTATGTACATACCATCTAATTGCAGCTGGAAACATTGGGCAGGTGTAAATTATACAGAATTCCATGTTTGTTTGTTTTTACCAGAAAGGCAAATTGCTATTAATAATTGAATTCTGGATAGAGTTTTTATACAGGTATACAAAAACAAAATAAGAAATAGGCAACTGTTCTGCTGGGTCTAGGATAACTCACTGAGGCCATTTCACCATGGCCAACTCACTGTGAAACAACTCGTTGCGGCCAACTTGCTGTGGGATAACTCGCCAGGGACAATTCCATGCAGAATAACTGTTATCCACCACTTTTACTTCAACATTATTTCCATTGACAGAAATGAAAATAATGTCAAAGAAACAGTGGCAGATAACAATACGTTGAGTTATCCTGTGGCAAGTTGGCTATGGCAAATTGCCCTGCAGCAAATTGTCCCATTCCAAGTTCTATTAACCAAGGATGGATTCCCCCTCCCCCTTTTACAGCTTCTTATTTTAATAATGAATTAAATAGCCTGATTCTAAACATATTTACTTTGAAGTAAGTTTAGTGAGGTGTGTTTGGTCAAAAATTAATTTAATGAGTGTTCTTTATAGTTAATTTTAATTAATTTTCAGGTTTTTTATACTATCAAAAACATAATCAAATATAAACATAGTTTCCTGATTCTGGGAACTTGATTTCATTTACAAATAAAAATGAATGATATATTGATTGTTTCTATTTAATAGAATTTTTCTTTTTAATAGGTTGTGTCACATCTTGAAAATGGGATAGATTTCTGGTATTTAGGACTAATTTGTGTGCTGCTGTATTTCAGATTGAAGGACAAGGACATGGGGCTGTGTTTGACTGCAAGTGCTCTCCTGATGGCCAGCATTTTGCATGTACAGATTCCCATGGACACCTTTTAATATTTGGGTTTGGTTCCAGTAGCAAATATGATAAGGTATGGTACAAGAAACTGCTTAATTTGTAATTTTTGCATAAGAGATACAAGCTAGTTCTAACCAAATGATTTCCAATATGAGTGAAAATCACATTCAGATTCTGTTCCATTACAAATTAAATCTTAGCTTTTTTCTTTTATAATGAATCGCTTAGAAATATGCTTCTGAAATTCCATCTGACATCTCAAGATTCTTTTGTTATATAATATTGAATAATAAATATTAGATTTAATCTAATATTACAAGAATACTTAGTCATTGCTTTTAGAGAGATTCCATGTCCTAGGCTGGAGATGGCAACTTAATCTCTTTCAAATGTTTGAGAATAAAATTCTAATTAATTTCAACCATCTTGGCTAAAGTCTAGGAATTTGGTAAATTGTCCAAAATATATGGAAGTGCAGGGATTACCTATTCCAATTTCAGAATTATTCAGGGTACATTTTAAACCTTCTATTTCATCATCTCAAATGAACTATGTGAAAATTGTTTCATTTAGTAAAGCCCTAAATTCAGGCATTTTTCACCCTACCCAAGTGTTTACAATCATTCTCTTTTCTATTTCATTGATTGGACCCCTCAAAGGCTCTTAAGATAGAAAAGAAAAAAAAAAATTTTTCTCTGATCTCCAAACGCAGGAATAGTACCTGTGGGTTCGTTTGCCCACTGACAAAGAAGTGATCAGTCTATAACTTTAATGGTAGATTTATTTTAACAGTGAGAGATAGAATAACAACAAAAAATCCAGAAAAACACATTTCAAAAAAGATATAAATTGATTTGCACTTTAATGAGTGAAATAAGTATTTGATCCCCTATCAATCAGCAAGATTTCTGGCTCCCAGGTGTCTTTTGTACAGGTAACGAGCACTCTAGTGCTCCTAATCTCAGCTCGTTACCTGTATAAAAGACACCTGGGAGGCAGAAATCCCAGATACAGGGATTCCTCAATTTATATCCACAGTTGAGAGCAGAATTTTGGTTGCTAAAGGGATCAAAGTGAGATGTCTGATGACTGCATTGCTTAGCAATCAAAATTCCAGCACTCCTGGCTGCTGTCGTAAAGCAAAATTACAGGTCTTTAAGCACCAAGAGTCCCAGATAAGAAGCATAGGGGTTTCCAGATTGTAAGTTGGGGGGCTTTAGTGTTCCCCAGGGACCCTCAGCTGCTCCAGCCCAAAGCTGCTGTTCCTCAGGAAATCACAGCTGCCCAGTCAGTCCAGCAGCATTTACGACTTCAGGGGTCCTACAACTCTCCATTCTCTCCCCCTTCCTGAGTGACCGGCACAGTAGCACTCACCAGTGGCAGCACCCAGACTGGACCTGAAATAGAGTCCCATGGCCTTCAGTAGTCTCAGTCAGCTGTCATCATCCCAGGCCTGTATTTCAGCCCCAGTGCTGTCACTGCCGAGTCTCACTGTGCAAGGCAGCCAAAAAAACACTGATCGGGGGAGATAGGTGGATGGGAATTCCAGTGCCCCTGCAGTCATAGGTTTACCAGGCTGCCAAGCACTGGAATTTTGATCACGTAACTGCAGGGACGCTGCAATGATTATAACTTTAGGCAGGGGGAATAAGTCAGGTTTTTTTCAGTGTGGACATAATTTTGAATACTAAACAAATGGTCATAAGTCAAGGACTGCCTTAGTATCTTCAAACTATTTAAAAAAAGAATTACTAATGATATTTTAGGACAGTTTCAAAAATAAAAAGAATTTTAAATATTTTCACAAATTGATCTATCTTCTCATGCAGAAATAAGATGATTGGAAGAATCAGATTTCAATTCTAAATCAAACATCCTTTGAGCTCCAGTCTGACTGACACTCTGGATTCTCAACTTCTCTAAAGGAGCAAAAATATGTAAACATGCAAATAAATCCCCAACTACAAAATCCTTCCAACTTGATTCCAAAAAGAATCAAGAATTAATCAGGATCTCTCTTCTGCCCTCCGTTTATGAAGAATTGCCTGAATGTGTTATGCACAGAGGATTTCAAAAATTTTATTGTTTTTAACCTTTGATATAAAAAGATCACATCCTTGTATATAAAATATACCACTTTACAATGCCCTGGTAGGGCCACACTTGGAATACTGCATCCAGTTTTGGTCACCACGATGTAAAAAAGATGCTGAGACTCTAGAAAGAGTACAGAGAAGAGCAACAAAGATGATTAGGGGACTGGAGGCTAAAGCATATGAGGAACGGTTGCTGGAATTGGGTATGTCTAGTTTAACGAAGAGAAGGACGAGGGGGGACATGATAGCAGTGTTCCAATATCTCAGGGGCTACCACAAAGAAGAGGGAGTCAAGCTATTCTCCAAAGCGCCTGAGGGCAGGACAAGAAGCAACGGATGGAAGCTAATCAAGGAGAGAAGCAACCTAGAACTAAAGAGAAACTTCTTGACAGTTAGAACAATTAACCAATGGAACAACCTGCCTCCAGAAGCGGTGAATGCTCCAACACTGGAAGTTTTTAAGAAGAGACTAGACAGCCATCTGTCCGAAATGGATTATTATTATTATTATTATTATTATTATTATTATTATTATTATTATTATTATTATTATTATTATTATGTTGGAAGGGACCTTGGAGGTCATCTAGTCCAACCCCCTGCTCAGGCAGGAAACCCTATACCATTTCAGACAAATGGCTGTCCAGTCTCTTCTTAAAAACTTTCAGTGTTGGAGCATGGAAGTTCCAGTGTTGGAGCATGGAATAGACTTCCTCTGTTGCAGTAGAAGGAAGCATTAACATTGAACCTCAACTTTTTATTTTTCCATAATATTATAAACTAGCCATTTCTATAATAACAAATGAATCTAATCAGTAAAACCGAAAATCCCCCCCCCTTTTTAGTCATCAAGTTTTTGACACCTTGCTAAGCACTGGTGGTACTCAAATATTCTCATGTCCTAAAAGTGATACAATCTGTGAAAAGGTTGAAAAGCCCTGATCTACAGTATTAGGTGTAAGATCTATTATATCACTTATATCAATTGGCCATGTTTTTCTTGGTAGAATTTTTGTAACATACTTTTTTTAAATGTCAGATATATCATTCCATTATAAAATAATTAAGATACTAAGAAAGATGTGAAAAAGGAGCTCATTATGAAGATTTTTTTCTACTAACCAAGTCTATATCTTTATGCAGAATTAATAAGTATTTATTTATATATCCCTGTGCAGAAGCATTTCTCATTGTCTTCGTGAACCATAGCTCTCAAATATATATATTTGCAACTTTAAAAACTGTTTTATAAAAGAACTGTGTAATTAATTCATCTGCTATTCTATAATTAGCAGTTTTTTGAACTGATGGCAATCTATATTCAATCACTTCTTAAATCTTGCCTAGATTTGATTTTTACAAAAGAAAGTTATCTAGAAAAGGTCATTTTAGCAATATGTAACTATTTTAATGTTGATTCACAAATATACATTGCTAAACTTTCAATTATATATAGTCTATAATTCTAAAATATTTTTTTATTTACAGATAGCAGATCAGATGTTCTTTCACAGTGATTATCGGCCTCTCATTCGTGATGCCAATAATTTTGTATTGGATGAGCAGACACAACAGGCACCACATCTCATGCCACCTCCATTTTTGGTTGATGTTGATGGTAACCCTCATCCATCAAGATTTCAGAGATTAGTTCCAGGACGGGAAAACTGTAGAGAGGAACAGCTTATTCCTCAGATGGGGGTAACTTCCTCAGGTATGTACAACTTCCAACTTTGTATGGTACCTTACTGTTTTCTAAGATTTTTGAGAGGGGCTTTTTAGCATTCTTACCAGCTTCAGTTCCAAAGGCATAAGAATAAAGGCAAAGGTAAATGTTTCCCGTGTCCAGTTGTGTCTGACTCTAAGGGGTGATGCTCATCTCCGTTTCTTAGCTGAAGGAGCCAGCATAGTCCAGAGACACTTCCATGGTCATGTGGGCAGCATGACCAAATGCTGAGACATAAGAAACACTGTTACCTTCTCACCAGCCTTCTTTGTATTTCTAAATGAGTCACTGAAAAAATGGCAAGTTTCTTATTCATAATCTCTTCCATAGTGTTTATGAAAGAGAAAATTAACACAATCAATGTTAATAAGTATTAATTTAGTGGTATTAAAGAAGAAGTTTGGGGGAAATTGTGTTCGTTTTCTCCAGTGTGTAAATAACAAGTACTTGATTCATTAATATTTTGACATATGAAGGAATGAACATTTTTGTAATGGATTTGTGTCTATAACTATTTTACACTTTTTTCACAATTTTCACTAGATCAGGAACTGTTAAATGATATAAATTAGCATACTTTATTGAGAGATTAATTCTTTTTTGTTAAAATAGATAAAGAGTATGTGTACAAGCTTAATTTGCCCTATTGGTATTGATCTCTTAAAGATGGAAAAGGAATGTAATTTTATTTACAGACTTATATCCCACTTTCTGAGACAAGGTTTCATAGAACTTCAGTTTCGGTCAGTGCCAACAGCCTATTTGGATGTAAGATATAAAGGATTTGAAATTACACATCATTTATTCATTTGTGATAATTCACAGGTGGAAGATCTGAACCATTACACATTACACTGCAAATTATATCAGGAACTCAGATCTAGATTTATTATGTCTTTGTGAATTCAACTGAATCAGTCCAACATCGAAGAAAAAAAGGTCTATTTGCATATAGATAATCATGTAACAAAACAACTTGCATTGCTTGCATGATCTTAAGGAAATACAAACTCAGATGTTGAAGACAGTGCTGTTAATTTTAGGGAGCATGAATTGAATTAATATGGATTGTGTAATTTTACATGAATTACGATAAAAACTTTCATTCCAAATAAATGTATTGAATAGTTGAACTCTTATAGACTTTAGACACTATTATAGACTATGTGCACTTTAAATGTATAAAATATATTTCATATTATACAAATTCTACTTTTAACAGGACTGAATCAAGTTTTGAGTCAACAAGTTAGTCCTTTGGATAGCATGATACAGCGACTTCAACAAGAACAAGATCAACGTCGGTCTGGAGAGGTTGGAAACAGTAATACAAATAGAATTGGCAGAGGTAAAAAAAATCCTTGTTTAATTAATTTGAATAATTTAATATAGTATATTTCAACTTTGGCATTTTTAAGTTGTATAAACTTCCACTCTCAGAATTCATGCTGTCTGGGAAATTCTGAAGTCCACATATCTTAAAGTTGCCAAGTTTGAAAATCACTGATCTAGTAGATTGACTTGATTTTATTATGGAAATAGTATTTTAACCTAGTAGTAATGGCATTTAAATCATTTTGCAATAAAATATATGTGTGTTTATTAAGACATTTGCTCACAAAAACAATGTAATTAGTAACAGCTTTAAATTTCCTCTCGGTTACTTAATACATTGTTTAAAATATTCATTTCTGTTTTGTTCTCTCTGTTTATGCTCAGTAAACTCTACCTCAGAAGTGCATTCACCACCAAATGTGGGATTAAGACGCAGTGGGCAAATTGAAGGAGTTCGACAAATGCATAGCAATGCCCCAAGAAGTGAAATAGCAACTGAACGGGATCTGGTAGCGTGGAGTCGAAGGGTTGTAGTACCAGAATTATCAGCAGGAGTATCCAGGTAATAGATGAATCTAATGGCATTATATTTGTAAGCTTAGATTATGAAGAAAAGTGATGCTTTCTTTATGTTGGCACAACACAGCACAGCTCTCCACTCTTCCAGGCAGAATTTTCCCCCCAATCCATTCATAATACTGGAATTGTGTCCTCTGATTTATTTCTCTCTGGGCTTAAATTTAAGTCTTAATAAACATTCTATTTAACAAGCACAAAATTAATACTAGATTTCACAGTATGCTTTATGCTACGTTATTTGCCTGGTTAGCCACAAGAAGTAACCTATCATCTTGATGTGATTGTTCCTTAATAATTTCTTACTGTTTGCTGATGCTGGATAAAAAGATTAATTCGCCGCTTCCGTTAGTATAAGGGTGGGGCGGAAATCCCCCTCCTTCCCTTTCGGAGGTATTTTGCTTCTTGGGGATCTTTTCCAGGAAATTAAATGTAAAATAGAAAAGAGAAGATTGAATTCCTCACCCAGTTTCAAGCACGCTGTTCACAGCTGTGCTGGTTAGTGCTTTTGGACTTCAGTTGCTAATAGCTTGGGCTGGTCAATACAATACGGCCAGCCTTTCTCCTGTCAGGCTAGAAAGCTTTCTCCAAGTTGAACGGAACGGCCGCCACTGTTCCAGAATCGCTGGAGCACCCTTCTTTCTTCGTCGCCTCTCTGGGGTGATTTAGACCCATTTAGGGTCCCCTGGCAGGGCAAAATTAGCACGCCTGTGACCAGTTGCTACTGTGCAAAACCGGAAGTCCTGAGTTATTGACTCTTTTATTGGGTGCTGTAGGACTTGTTATTATGAAGCTGTATAGTCTCAAAGAGATTGGGATGCAAATGTGTGGCTCCTGCCACAAAAATTGAAATAATGCATGTAATTCTAATACATTGAAGTTAACTTTAATGCTTGAATTTCTTTCCTGCAGTAGGCAAGAAGAATGGCGAACAGGAAAGGGAGAAGAAGAAATAAGAACATACAGAGCAGAAGAGAGGAGAAAGCACATTATAAGCCATGTTCCTAGAGAAAATAAGATACCATCTTTGCCCAAAGTAAGCAGTGCCCTCTTGACAATAATGTAGAGTACAGGTAGTCCTTATGACCACAACTGAGTCCAAAATTTCTGATGCTAAGCAAGACAGGCTTTAAGTGAGTTTTGCCCCATTTTACTGCCTTTCTTGCCACAGTTGTTAAGTGAATCACTGCAGTCATTAAGTTAGTGAATCTGGCTTCCCCATTGACTTTGCTTGTCAGAAGGCCGCAAAAGGTGATCATATGACCCCAGGACACTGTAACTGTCATATAAAGGAGTCAGTTGCTAAGCATCTGAATTTTGATCATGTGATTATAAGGATGATGCAGTGGTTGTAAGTGTGAAAAACAGTCATAAGTAACTTTTTCAGTGCCATTGTATCTTTGAACAATCACTAAATGATTGGTTGTAAATCGAGGATTACCTGTATTATAAACTGGAAAGCAAATAGGCTGGATGTGCCTAGCTTTGACCTTATACTACTCCTGCTCTGCACAAACTGCTGGCTCAGTCCTGCTACCTCCCCAGTTGAGCCCAGCGAGCAACCTTCAGCAGATGAGGCTCTGTGCTCACCTCTGTTTCAACTCTTCCCACTGGCTTATTTCCCCCCCCCCCGCCTTTTGGCTGCCCTCAGCTGCAGCTCACCGACCGTCACTGTCTTCTTCTTCCTCCTGCTTCCTCCTCCAGGTGCATGCAGGCCCCAAGATGTACATGGCAAGCGTGGCAGGGTAACAGAGCCTTGTCTGCCAAAGGTAGTTTGCCTGACCTAGTTATGGAGGAGGCAGGATGGCAGTGCAGGTAGTGGCTGAAAGGCAAAGTTGGGTGGGTAGGTTGAAGCCCACACTGTGCTTGTAAATACATGCAACAGCCATTACTGTGAGGACCACTCATAACTCAGGACCATAAAAATGATGACTGAACAAATGAGAGAACTATCTATAATAGTGGTGTTTAGTATAGTAGGGTTTCTTGCCCTATGTGAAAACCTAGTTAGCTGATAGGAATTGGGGGTTTTCACATTGTGAGCCACAGAACTTAGATTCCATAAGAATTTGATGAGATTCCCAGGGCAAAAAGAAGAAAAAAGTTCAGTTGAATATAGTTTTCTAGCATTAGGACTTTTCTGTTTGATCAGGAATTTTCTTTTAATTAACAAGTTCTTCAGACTGAAAAACATTGAAAGGCCCTGAATAGCTCTTTAGGATTTAAACATCTTTGTTGTCAGGTTGGAGAAAAAAAAATCCTTTAATTACCTGCAGTATTATTTTCATATTTATTCATAGTTACAGTTTAAGAAATGGATAAACTATTTGAGACAATAGAAAAATTTCTACAATCATAGCACTAGTAGGGTGTTTTTGTACAATTCATCCCACTTCAAGCTCCATGTTTTCACAGATATTTATTTAATGTTATACTTGCATTTTTGGTCTTTTGGGGCCATTCAGTCTGTAATATTAATGTCCAGAGTGTATAAGGGAGAACAGAGTTTATCTAAAGCCTTTTTATCTCCACTGGTAAGCTATGCCTTTGTACTGTTTCACAGTTTTTTCGTGATCCTGATTAATGGTCAGTTTATGTATTTCTAGAACCATTCACATGATCATGTATTGGATGTTGGGGATTCAAAAAAACAACAGGCCAACCAGCATAACTATCGAACCAGATATGCCTTAGAAGAAACTGTCAGGCCAAATGAAGACATTGAAAATGGAAGCAGTTCCTCAGAGGTAAGAATGATATTGTAATTCATTTTAAATTACAGCAAACCCTTTATTCAGCATACATTGGATTAATGGACTACAGATATAATACATAAAGTCCTCAAATGTATCAGACAGAACCACAATTGATAAATCTTCCAAATAAATAATAAACACAGTTTTCCCTGGTTTACCAATATCACATTGCTATTTAGGGAAGGCAGTGTAATGCCTCTTTCCCCATTTGCTGCCGTGATATGTATGGTTTAGACCAGTGGTGGTGAACCTATGGCATGGGTGCCAGAGGCGGCACTCGGAGCCCTCTCTGTGGGCACACGTGCCATTGCCCCAGCCTCGCCTCCCCCTGCAACCCCCTCCTCTCTGAAGGAGAGTCGCCCCTCAGCGTGGCCCACGCGGATCAGCACAGCCAAGGACATGGCAGCCAGGCAGCATAGACAAGACTCTGCCCTCACACCCCATTGTGCACAGTTGATGCTGCAGGGCACGGGCAGAGGGCGTGGCTGCCATGGCGCTGCTGGGCTGCCTGGATGATCTGCGGTGGGCCCTGGAGGTGGTGAGTGGCCCTGCGGGCAGGCGGGGCAGGGGATAGGGGGCGGAGCAGGGGCGTGGCCAGTTTTTGGGCACTCTGTCTCTAAAAGGTTCGCCATCACTGGTTTAGACCTATTAGAGCAGCTGGCTGTGACATCTTTCTCTGAATACAAGAACAGAAAACATTGGTGGATTTTGTGTGTTATAAATATGGACTGCAGGACAGTGTAAGAGGAATATGCTTCAGAGGGATAGATAGGTTGGAAAAATAACATTCAGACTTTATATATTTGGCTCTAATTAAACATCTTCCCCCCATTAATCAATTAAATCAAAGACTTACTTTATGGCCATTATAATACATATGTAATTCTCAAAGCTTGGTATTTTCTTTTGAACATAAAGTACTATTTTGTCTGCAAAAACCTGATAATTTCCGGTTGATGTATGCAGTTATCAATTAACATTCTGTAGTTAATTGTAAAGATAATTGATTATTTTGGACTTACACGATGAAATAAAGCAGCATCTAAATATAAATTTTGAATGAAAAATGAAATTTCAGTACCATTTACATTATGTTATGAGCTGGATTCAAAACTGGACATGACTATTCATTGAGTTCAGATATGGTAGATAGGGTTTTCCCAAACTGAGATATGGCTGTCTCTGGGAGCTGCATAGAGTCCAGGGAGGTGTGAAGATTTTTATTTTATATGTCTTTATTAAAATAAAGGTTTGTTGTATTGTTTTCATTATTCATTTTGGTGTTGGGATTTTTAGGGGAGGTGTATACATTAAAATTACACTACAGGAAGGTGTATTGACAGAAAGTTTAGGAACCCCTACTCTAGGTTGTTTGCATGTAAAATCATTTATAACTCCTGAGGTTACTTGACTCTCCTTTCTTAAAGATAACATTTCCTGAACATTAGCTAATGCTTCTAGATCTGTCCATCTATCACATATACTAAATGTAACTTTAACTTTTCAGGAAGAGCTTTTTAGCAAATGTTCAAAGACATTTTGTTTTCTTAATACCAATCATGGAAAACTTGACTTCCTTTAACAGACTTACTTATTGATCACATAGGTAGTTATGGTGATTTAAAGTAAAAATATTGTAATTAAGTCATAAAACTAAAGCAAATCCCAAACGATATAAAAGAATTCAGCAATCACATATAATATGAACATTCCAGTGCTATGGAACCTTTTACTGCAGGTTCAAAAACGTGTGGGGTGTGCTTCTTCTGAAATGGGCATTTTTTTGATGTTATACCCAAATTTATACCAAAGAAGATGGCCTTTCCGATATTCTGGTTCCAAACTTTTTTTAGCTTTTCTATATTAATAATTACCTGTTGTGAGTCTGTGGGTAGTAATTAAAGGGCCAGTGTTTGGTTAGATCTTAGTTTTCAACAAAATTGTTTTATGGATAATTTTTTTAACTTAACCATTTTATTGTATTTTGTTGGGGTTTTTTTGTGAGCCATCCAAAGTGGCATCAAAATTGAGTGAAATGAAGTCGCTGAATAACTGATTCTTAATCATTAATTCCTTTATTAAAGCAATTAGAAGTCCTTCATTACTTTTAAAGAAGGAAGTCTTAGCATGTCAGAAGAAATGTCTGAATATTATATTGTTCTTAGGAAGGAGAAATTGTTGTTGCCAGTGGTGGAACATCAGAAAATGAAAGAAAAGCATGGCATAGTGATGGTAGTTCTAGGTAAGTGACTGAATATCAGGATCTATGCTGTTTAAATTTAAATGTAAGATTTAAATGCTAAGATATATGTTAATTGTTCCGATTCATAAAATATACTTTAAGTAAAAAATGAAAAACGAGTTTAAGAATTTTTTATGGCAGAAAGAATCCGGTAAAAAACAAAAGACCAAATGTGTACAGGCATATTTCCACCACTTCTTCCCAATTGGAGCTGCCTCATTCCTGTTCACCTTGAAGATAGGAAAGTCCTTTGGAATGACACGTGAGACAGGAAAGGATCATCATTAAACTCCTTTCTGAATATCTATTTCTAGGACTTGGTGTTGATATACCATTACATTTTCATTCATCACGTTGAAAAATACAGGCAGTTCCCAGGTTAAGAATGCTCTAAAGCGGTACATTTTTAATACACAGCCTGTTTTTAATAGTTTTTTCTGTAACTGATTTTAGTGGAAACACTAGAAGCTACCTATTAAATAGCAATATTTGGATCTTGCACAAAGGTTCATGGAATTTTGCTAGTGGCTCTTTTTCTTTTAATTTTTTTACATTTTTTTTGTCAAACAGCAGACCTGAACACATTCTTTAGAGAAAAACATCTCCTCTACTATATTACAGCCTGCTTTTTCACATTCATCTTTTTTTTTTTTAATATATTGTCATATAATTTAAACATTTTTTGTGCTGGTCCATGACCATAATAAAGATTGAATGAAAAAATGTTTTCTTTCTGACAATACTGACTTCAAAATTCCCTTCTTGGGAGTAGAGAAGTAATAAATAATTAAAGCATCTGATGAGTTAAGAGTATCAAATTAACATTTTATTATTAGGTAATTCTTGTTATGATTATTTTAGTTCTGGCCCACCTGGTTTATGCTTACAATTACAGTTTATGGTTCTGTATGAAGTTGCAAGTAACATTTGTTCAGTGCTTTTCATCTAAATGCATTCTAATTCCAGAAGAATTATGACAAAAATTATTTGTTTCATCCTAGTATGCCTAGCTAGTTTTTCAGTATTGAAAACCGATAGGGTTTTTTTATGTATATTAAATTTGCACATCAGTGCATATATATATGTATTGATTCATTATTTCACTTCTAGTGATTATTCTAGTGATTACTCAGACTGGACAGCAGATGCTGGAATTAATTTGCAACCACCAAAGAAAGTTCCTAAAATTAAGACCAAGAAAGTAGAGAGCAGTTCAGAAGATGAAGAAGGTCCTGAAAAACAGAGACAAAAACAAATCAGAAAAGAAAGGAAAAAAGGTATTGAAGATAAAGATGGTCCATCATCTCCAAAGAAAAGGAAACCGAAAGAAAGGAAGCAAAAGGTTGTACTAGAATTATAAAATACTAATTTAAAATGCTTCTTATCAGTAATGCTTATTTCTCACTAATGTAAATACAAATGAATTATACTTTTAATTATCCAAATAGCTAATATATTAAAATTACAAGTTAAGAGGTGTACATTTTGCAAGATTTTTGATTCAAAGTTTGCCTATAAGGAAAATGAATGGGGTTTGTTAATATACCCTCTTATTCTGTTCATGAAATAGCAAAGTTCCTTCATATATCTCTTCCCCATCTTACCAAAGTATGAATGGCTAACAGTGAATGAGTCTGTTAGTGCTTGGACTGGAAAAAAACAATGAGCACTTTGTTCAAATGCAAGGTGCAGGGGTGAAGGACAAATTTCTTCCTACTATTTCTCTTTGTTCAGGTCAAGTTGAATGTGAGCATTAGTGCACAACATAGGTTAATTATTCTAGCTTCAGAATTTTTTGTTATAAGAATGTACATTATTAAAATGCAAAAAATAGAGCTCACAATTAATCTGAACAAACCTGTAAACAGCATTTAAGAAATATAGGAGAGTGGTTTTACAGTAATAAAGAATAAAAAATGGAAGCAGCAACATGGCTCAGCCAATTATATTGACCACTTGGAAGCATGCAGAAACCATGAGCCTGGTTTCATCCTATTTGGGATTTGTCAGTTGTGGGTAAAGCAGCTGTTGCTGTATGGAGTTCAAACCCTTTACTAGAATGGACCTTTATAATTTAGATAATTAAATGGTGCATTAGGTTTTAGGAGCTATGTAGTTCCTGGCACTCAACAGGAAAAGTTATATAGAATTCATCATAGGTTTTGTACAGTTCATCTTCCTTTAAGATCTCAGAGCAGAGAGATACAGATATTTTGTCATGCTCCCATGTGCGCCTGCGTGCACACAAACACACATTCAGACCTTCTTAATGTTGCAGGGAAATGTATCTATTTTTAGTACAGGTACATCTTCTGTGGTGTTTTCAGTTACCGGTATATTGACCACCAAGAGGCAGGCTCCATTGACCAGTTAAGTGGTTAAGCCAAAATTAACACAGAAATAACAGTTCCCTATGAACCCCCCTGCTAAGATGAGATTTGGGATGTACTTATATTGTTCCATATTGCATGGTTTTCTGTATAACAAGAAAGATAAGAAAGCATCTGTCCTTTCCCCCATCTTGGCTGGCCCACATGAGGTCAGTTGAAAATTAAAAATCAAATGTAGGAAAGCGCAGCACAAGGGGCGGGAGAAGAAGATGAGTTGGATCTGATTCTGAGCAATTGCTGCGGGCTCCTTCAGTCGGCTGGTGGCCATGAGAGGGCGAGAAAAGAAAGCACTTTTCTGCACTTCCACAGAACTTGTCCCTCTCCTGGAGCAGCCTGAGGAGGCGATTGTCACATGAAGAGATAGGGCTCGGCTGAAGCGTAGCTTTTTAGTCTATTGGGCAGAGTTCAAGTTCCTCATGTGGCCTTTGGGGAAATTAATTGCCAACCCCTGCTTTTGACATTTTTTTAAAAAAAAAATGGCCTTGAATTGATGAAAACAAGTTAAAACTCCTGAATGTTAAAATATCCATCCAGCCAAGCCATTTCTATCTAACTCTTAGAAGTCTTTACAGATTCCAACAGTTTAGAACTCTAAATATTTCGATCCAGCATTTTCTTCTATCATCTTGAAACACATAAATATTTTATGTTTTAATTAATTCATTATGTTTTAATTTGTCCAGTAACTGGAATTCTCGGAGCAGGTTAAAACATTATTTAAAATTTTATGAATATTTTTAAAAAGTAAAATCAGTAAAATAATACATTAGTAAGAACATAGCTAGTAAATTATTCTATATTTCATTTTTAATCAGTCTAGAAAATATTTAGTCAGTCTGTCATGGGGGACAACATTCTAAATTCAGTCACCAGAATTGCTTGTGTTTCTGCATTCACTATTACATATGTGAAAAGGACAGCTATTTCCACAACTTTGGGGTATCCCTAGTCCCAAATGCAAATGTCTAGAATATTAGGAACCCAGGTGGGAAATACAATTCTTTCAAGGTGAACTCTGTCCTTTTTATAGGAAAAAGGAATTAATAAATGCTATATTAGTCAATTAACGTGAAGCATGCTGACATTTTTATCAAATACCTATACTAAGTTCAAATGTGATGGGCATGTTTATTTATTTTGCTAATAGAAAATTGATGGTGATGGTTTAATATTACTGAGCCTCATGCATACCTTCCTTCTTATTCTAATATGGCTGTAAGGAAATTATTAAAAATCTTTATTTTCATTTTTGACATGATGTAGCTGATAATTGTATTGGAAAAGGAAAGAGAAATTGCATATGTGAGGTTTGTTCCTGTATTGCTAAAACTGAATTCAAATGCTTTTGAGAACAGCTAAGCTTAAGCAAAATCTTAAAATTAAATAACAAGTTCTAGAGTTTAATTTAGATATATGTGCATATTTCTTTAGAGGTTGGCTATGGGAGTGCTAACTGAAAATGGCTTGACATTAGAAGAGTGGCTTCCTTCAGTATGGATTACAGATCCTGTTCCTCGACGATGCCCTTTTGTACCACAAATGGGGGATGAGGTACTTGTTCTTTCATTTTTATGCATGCCTTTGCTTGCACTTTCATGTTCAGTTTATTGAAGTGCCAATTAAAAATCTCTTCCTCTGTCAATTACTTTTGAAATAAGGCAGAATTCTGATGGCTGTTTTAAAATAAAAAATTATCAAGTTGTTTGTACAAAGGCTTATGCTATTCTTGGAATACAGGAGTCATGAATTAATGCTACTGTTAACATATTAGCTTAATTCATTTTGTGCTCTCATTTGGAGAGGAAACTAGGTATTTGTTCCTTATACCTTCAGCTTAATTTAGGTTTTTCTATTTCTTTTACATCTCTATTTTCCTTCCTTATTTTCCTCAAAAACAAGCTGTTTTATCCCTCATTTCATTCTACAACTTTTTTTTGCCTTTTTTGTCTGTTGGATGGTCCCAGGGAGCATCTCTCCCACAAACACTGGATAGAAAAGTAGAGTAAGAATTATAGAATTATATTTGGGTTGGCATCATGACCTGTGAGCAAGGAAACTTAGGTTCAAGTCCACTCTCAGCTGAGTGACCTGGATCAGTCCCAGTCTCTAAGCTGGAACTACACAACATTGCTGTTGTGGAGAAAATGAAGAGAAATCTCAGAATGAACTACCTTGAGTTTCTTGTGAAAAAGTGGGCTATAAGTTAAAGAATTATGAATGAGAAGAATTGCCAAGAAGGCGGTGGTAGCCTTTTGTATTCCTCCAAAGAGACTGCCATGAGTTGTCTTTCTGTTGAATGTAAGAAATAGTAGGGAGCCATAGGCAATCATTACTAAATCTGGTAATTTCAGTTGAGATGGTGACCTGGGAGTGACTTAGTTCACATATCCTAGGCCTCTTCCATTGGTTAGGCAAGACTCTGCACCTTTGAAAAGTGAGTCCCTTTTTGATAACTCACCATAACATTAATGATATTGAGAAATGGCAGTGTTCCAAGTTTAAAACACAAATTTAGTTAATTATACCAGCCACTGGAGACTTCCAATGAACATGGCCGACTGACCTGTCTAGGAGGAATTTCTTCCAGACAGAAGCTTCTTCAACTATTAATGAGGAACTGCGTTCCCTTTTGTTTTTAAGATGTATGAAGTATCTTTGATGGTAAAATATAAGGACAGAAAGCTGTGACTCTATTTTATTGCCTTTAAATAATCTATAGCTTTGGATTGTTTTGTTGTGAGTGGCTTAAACGTTCTGATTTTTATGAATTCTAATTGGTCAGGAAGCATTAACTGATTTATAAAATATCTACTCTTTGACCACAAGAGGGAGCTAAGAAGTTTAAAAGTGTTTTTAAAGAAAAGTTTAGTGTTTTAAAATGGATGCTTAAAAAGTGTTTTTCCCTTTAAGGTTAAAGAATCTGAAAGAATAGAGTGAATGTTGTTAATATAAATGATAATAGTCTATAAAGATTAATAAGTGTAAAAAGAAATATTACTTTCCATGGCAAGGAAAAAAATTAGAGATGGTTAAATTAATTGCCTTATCCAAAGAAGAGAATATATCTAATTTGGTTTTTAGTTGGAAATTGCTTCTGGATTTTGCGCTTGTGATGGGGAAAAAAATATGAAACTTTGATTTTGGTTTTGCTGATTAGATAGGTTTGTTGTTATGGAAATGGCTAGTATACAGTATATTACTATGTAAAAATAAAAAAAATTGAGGCTGTGATATCTTCTACTGTGCTAAAAAGAGTCTGAAGTCAACACTATTTTTATTTTCCTTTGCATTTTACATTCTGATAAACTAATAAATATTTTTAAAATTATACCAGCCACCAAATAGCACAGAAGAGCCTTATAGGCCCCATTTGATTTTCTTCAGCTTTTCAGGGCATTTGTAACAATAAATTTCTAATGCAGCATTGGATTTTCAAGCCTCTCTGGTTTTGGCTAAGTATTTCAAAGAAGCTGTTCTCATTTCTGAATGTTCTTTATTCTGAGGCGGATTTGGTTAAAAGATATAATGCCTTCTAAGGGGTTCCAAAACAGGGCATACTGTATATGTTTCTTTATCTTTCTACCTATTTGTTATATTCTCTTCCTAGAAAGGACTTAATTTGAAACCTTTCTGAAAGGAATCAGAAATCTAACTGGCTGGATTGTCACTGTCTGTTAGAAACAGTAGCAACATAAATAACCCCAGATATACAGTTCCCAGGTCTGCTTCATAAAACAACATCAATGTTTTTACCTTTACTGTCAAAGTTTACCTGAATATTTATAATTAAAAATGCTGCAAAATTCTGTCTTACGATGGAAAAAGAATGATGGAAGTTTTCATAACCATTCCAATAGCCAAATTGTTAGGAGAATGATAGACTGAACCCAAAGTTTCTTTGAGATTTAAGTAAGAAATACATAAATTCAGCTTGAAATAAGATACGTAAGTGTCTTATGAATCATTAAATTTTGCTAGAGACGTATTCCATTTTTTACATGGTTACATAACAACTCACATCTGATGCCTTACAGACTAAACAAGAAGAAAGTTACATTTTGCTGTCTGAAATAAATGACCCTTTAGGACAGGTAACCCCTCACAAACTGTTAGATCCAAAAGCTGATACTTCACAACACATATTCATATCAGTGCTAATGACTCGTTATACTTCCTTTGTATTTGTTGAATCACTTGTTGGGTTCTTTTATATGTACAGATATTTCCTGCATTAACTGTGATACTTAATTTCTGAAGGTTTACTACTTCCGGCAAGGTCATGAAGCATATGTTCTAATGGCAAAGAAAAACAAAATATATAGCATTAATCCTAAAAAACAACCATGGCATAAGATGGAGTTACGGGTATGTCTCCTCCTTGCTCTTTCTGTTTTACATTCTGTTTTACATTGTATATGTAAATTTGAGATCTTATAGATTCTTACTTGGAATAAATCCTTCTGAACTAAGAGAACAGAAGGGTACCCTATATAGTTTCAGCTTTTAAATCTAGCTATATGTGTATTTCTACATACAGTCCATTGCATTTAATGGTAATTATTTTATCATATTTGAAAGGTCAAAACAGTAAGATAGTAGGCCCATTTACAAGTGTAAAAGAGTTACAAATCATCCTCATTTAATGACCACTTTCAATGGCCATTCTTGCAACAGTACTTAACAAGTGGCAGTTATGACTGGACCTTGTACTTACCATCCCTGTGGTTATGGGATTGCAATTTCCAACCTTTCCTGCTGGCTTCCCACAAGCCAGCAGGAAGTTAGGCGTTGTGGTCATAATGAGGTCCTCATTTAAGGTTCTGCATGATCCTTATTAAATGATGGCAACAAGCAGCCTGCCAAATTGCAGAAATAAAAGATACAGATTATTTTAGGAACATTTTTCAAAACTGTTACTTAGAAACTGTATAGAGGCTATTTGTTTCCTATGTACTTTCTTATGCAAGCACTAATTAAAAAGAATGTGAGAAAAGATTAGTGTTCTATTCGATTATATTCTCCAGGGCTGCCAGATAGACAGATAGAAAATGAATTTCAGTCACACTGCTAATATAATTTGGCATGCCTTGCTATATATTACTGAAGCATTGCAAACAGTCACCAACATCTGTCGTAGATGTATTTACAGTTGGGGCTTGGGAGGGGGAATATATTACTGACTGGCTGCTAAAAAACCCCAAAGGCTACAATTTCTGTTTGGTGGATGAGAATATTAGCGGGGGGAGCGGGACAATTAGTGTTGCTATCCAAAAGAGAACCCTTTCCTATTTACCTGCAGTTATGTGTAATAAAACTTTTAACTGCACAAAAAGGAGCTAAGTTTAAGTCGTGGACTGACTGTTCTTAGTGAAGGATATTTTTTTAAAAAAATAGCTGAAATCTGAAAGGGTAAAGAACTTCAGAAAAAGGCCACATAAGTTCAAACATGACAATGTAGCAAAATGCAACATGGACTACATTAAAATGTACATAAGCAGTGTACATGCTATATACCGGTAGAAGTTTTGTCCAACGTAGCCTCCGTTCTGTATGTGCAGCATCTGATGTTCACGTGTGTGGTCTCACACTTGTCAAGTAAGCAAGTATTCCTTGAGCAGGTGATAAGTAGAATTCCATAGAATTTCGAAATTGGACAAGCTTAACTTGGCTTTTAATGATCATCTGGCTCCTCTTTATACATGTGGAGAACTGGATCTTGTACTGAAATCAAGCCTCTCCCTTAATTAATAGATTATAATTTGGTTCTATTACTAGCATCGTGTCTCTTGTCTATTTTCAGGCATGGCTGGTTTGAGTGGGGTTTTTTTTTAATAGAATATTAGGTTGGAGACTCCCAGCTGGTCTTAAACTGAAAAAGAGTGGGTTGAAACGGGAAAGTTTCTATTTAAAACTATAGGTCAGGGGTGTCAAACTGCCGGTCCACGGGCCGATTTCATCATACCGGAGCCGTGCCCACCCCATTGCCGGCAATGGCAAAAAAGCTCCGATACGTGACGTCGCGAGTTTGACATGTCTGCTATAGGTGGATATGTGTGTGATTGTGCTTTGTGATTATGTATAATTGTGCATGTATGTATCATAAGGCAGTGCTATCAGCACCAGTTACATGTGCAACCTAAATAGAAGAATTAATTTCCCTAAATAACCAGGCAGCCCTTATTTAGAGGGGAAGTTTTCTGGCAGGAGGGAAATGTTATTTTAAAATTCAAAAGGGAGCAAAGTTGAAAAGCAAAAGGATGGGATAGAGTGGTGAATTTTTTGTTCTAGTCATACACTGCCCTGCATTGTTTTAAAACCAGATCAAAAAAGAAACCATACTTGAAGTAAAAAGTATTGGGGTTGCCTCAGTTGGGTAAAAACATATATTTAGCAGTGCTAATAGTCAGAGCACCACCACTGAGTCCAATCAAGTTTTGAGTCCCTTGCAGAATTCCTATTTACTCTCTGAAGTCTTTCACCCACAGCTTTCATATCTAGAATGGCTCCCTCAATACCTCATGCAAAATGGTTTGCTGACTCAAACTTATTCATTCAGCCTAAGCCAATGACAATTCACCGTGGCTGACTCGCCATGGCTAACTTGCTGCAGGACAACTCGTCACAGCCAACTCGCCACAGGACAACTCGTTGCTGGACAAAAATTATACTAATATTAAAGAAATGGTGAAATAGAATCATTAGAAAAGGATGCAAAAGGAGGGGCAGCAATTTTTTTTAAAATTTATTTTAAATAATTAAATAGAATTGTTAAATTGTTCCGCAGAGAGTTGTCCCCTGGCAAGTTGGCTGTGGCAAGTTGACCGTGGTGAATTGGCCGTGGCGAGTTGTCCCATTCCCAAGCCAAGGAGCATGCTGTCCTGGCTTAGGTAGAAAGACAGAAAAGATTATGCTCCAGTTTTTAGACTGAAGACAGCACTGCAGTTAGATCCCCTGGAATACCATTGAATGCTTATAATGAGTATATTTGGTCTCATTTTTTAAAAAGTGTTTCATCCTAAGCCTGAAAAAAATTGCATATGCTTAGAAGGAAGCTATTCATGGATTGTTCTGCTTCAGTTTATATTATGTATAAGTACCATTTTCTGTCTGATTAGGTTTTGAGCAAAGTACAGTGAAGATNGAAGATATCATACACAGTGATCAGCAGCCTCTTAGTAAGAGATGATAGAACGTACTGTTTACCAGCTGCTCTCGCTCTATTAGTTGTTTGGTTTTTCTGTTTAATTCAGAGGTGTAAGTTACACAAACCTCTCTTCTTTCTCTCCCCCCCTTCTTTTTTTCCCACCTGAAAAGCATGGTAAATTACTATCAATATTTTTATTTTTGTTTAAGGAACAAGAGTTAATGAAAATAGTTGGAATAAAATACGAAGTTGGATTGCCTACACTTTGCTGCCTTAAACTTGCTTTTCTTGACCCTGATACGGGTAAATTGACTGGAGGATCATTTACAATGAAGTAAGAAAAATCCATGATCATATATATACAATTTTATTTATATGTCTCCCTGTCTCTTTCTCTCTTATCCCCTCTCCCACATATACAGCTTTGCAACATATTTTATGTATATACAAAATAAAACATGTTTCTAAAATTAATATCACTTAATAAGCTTAAATAGTAAATTTGGTGTAGATTTGGAGATTTGATAATATCTGATTACACAAGGAGAGTTTCCATTTCTCTGTTTTTCTCCCCCCCCCCATCCCCCAATGCATTTCAACCCTCCAGGATAGATTTGGAAGACAGACTGGGAAGAGAATCTGATCTCTCTATGACAGCTAAACGTTACTGAGTTTATTTTATTATCTACTTAAGTTAACAACATGATGCCCAAAATACTCCTAAATGGTTCCAGATACTCTTACATTTAATAAAAATATTTTTATTTTTATTTAAAATGCTGAAGCCTTGTATAATCTCCGATGAGATTACTGAAATCTTTTGAGGGCTCTGGGGGATCATTTTGGGGAACAGCAGACAGCACCTAAAAATGTTGCCAGTCCCTCAGTTTAGCATAGACAGAATTGGATACAGGCAATTAATGTTTGATGATAGAAATGTAATTGAGAGCATTTTTTATTAAAGCAAATGTCTGAAATGTGCTTTAAGAAACTTCATTTGATTGTAATTATTATGCCTATCTCCCAATACAGAGGGATCTCTCAGCAGAATACATTTCTGTTCTTCCTGCCCTCAATATTCCTGCTTTGGGGGATGAAAATATCTGAAAAGACAGAATTTTCCAGTCTTGCATGACTAAAGGGCCACTTGTACAACATTAAATTTCACCTACAGAACTTTTCCCTAATAGTGGAACATTTTTATGTTGAACATGTATAACTGAGGATAGAATTATAAAAATAGCTGGCTTGAGAACTCAGGTTTGTGACTGATCAGGGAAAGGATAATAGGCATAAAAAGCCATTATTCTTATCTAGGCTTGATATCTATAGACAAGAAATTCTTTCTGGAAAAAAAACTGGCTACTAGCCAAATTCTGGATGAGAAATGATAGATGGTAAAAACTTAGCTATAGTTTTTCCTTTCATTCCCCACCCCCCAAAAAACGACAGATGTAGCTGCTTTTTCACTGAACTTTGCTATCAAACATATACTTTAGTGTCTAGTTTAAAAAATGGAAATTAGTTGAGATTGTTCCACTATTTCTTGATATGTCTTGCATTGAATGGATGAGTTCTTCAAAGTAACACGTTTTTCATACCATTTCATTTTGATTATGTCTAGATATCATGATATGCCAGATGTGATAGATTTCCTAGTCTTAAGACAGCAGTTTGATGATGCAAAGCACAGAAGATGGAATATAGGTAGGTGCTCTAGAATACATTTAGTGGTTTCATGGTCAAAATTCCCTATGATTTCAATAGAATCTATGATAATTACTTACCCTTTTGTATGTGTTTGGAACCTCACACTCTTCCATGTGTTAGAAGTTTGGACAACAATATTAAAAATCCTTGCTATTTTGAGAAATGCTTGCCATAAGAATTTTCATTATATTCTCAAGTGAATAATATTTTTGTTTCCATTTATAGTTCTTAAATTAGAAATAGCAGGCTGTTGCCATACATATACATAGTGGAACAACCTGCCTCCAGAAGTTGTGAATGCTCCAACACTGGAAGTTTCTAAGAAGAGACTGGACAGCCATTTGTCTGAAATGGTATAGGGTTTCCTGCCTGAGCAGGGGGTTGGATTAGAAGACCTCCAAGGTCCCTTCCAACTCTATTATTATTATTATTATTATTATTATTATTATTATTATTATTATTATTATTATTATTATTATTATTATTATTATTATTATTATTATTATTATTATTATTATTATTATTATTATTATAATATCTGGAATAAGTAGTATAAATGTTTAATATTTTCAGATATAAAATTTATAACATTCAGATTTACTGTCATTGGAAACCTCACTTGGCTTTCTTCTTTCTTCTTAATCCTTTACTCTCTCTCATACTGGAAAGTCACCCAGCCAGTTAAAAAAATGCTTTTTAAAATTAATTCCATAAGGGTTTTGATCTTTTAACCCGTGCACAGCATGGGACTAGATTATTTGAGGGACTGCCGCTTCCCTATTACATCTACCCATTCCATCAGTTTGAGCAGGACAAGTATCCTGTTTACTAAGAGGTTCCATCTAGGATCTGGATGGTGTGCCTTTTCTGCTATGGCCTCCACCCTTTGGAACATCAACTTCGCCCTATCTCTATTATTCTTTTGGAAAAATCTTATGTGGTTTCTTCATGAATAGTTCCCAGTGTTCAATTTAGTTTACAATTTTCCTTTGAGTTGGTTTTATCTTTATTTATATTTCATAGCTGGTAGAAGCCACAAACATACAAAATGACACTAATGCATAATTCACGTTGCACAATAGTGTCATGGCATAGGCACAATTAGCCTCACTCCCAGAGACATTCTGTGCTTAGAAAATTTTCCTTGCCTGTCGAAATAATATTTCTGGCCCAACTCAATTTACCTTTATAGAACATTTGACAAGCTACTTGTTATAGAACATTTGAATTTTTAATTGTATGTATCTTTGCTTGAAAGACTGCCGGTATTTTACCTCTTCTTATTCATGCAATTGTTGTCAAATTACTATTAAAATAGTAATACATATAGAAATGGTTAATTATATAGTTTGGTGTACCTGTGCAGGCGATCGATTTAGATCAGTAATTGATGATGCATGGTGGTTCGGAACAATAGAAAGTCAAGAACCTCTTCAGCCTGATTATCCTGACAGCTTGTTTCAGTGCTACAATGTCTGGTTAGTATGTTTGTAAATACAGCAATATTTAATTGCTCTGGTTTTTAAAATTCAAGTGCATTTAACTGTAAACTGGTTAATGCCATTATAGTATTTGATATTTACTGTTTAAAATTGGGAAAATGTATTATCAATAAATATATAGATAAATAATATTGTCCAAAATGTTTTTTTATCTTTTCTTTTTGAAGTTGGGACAATGGAGATACTGAGAAAATGAGCCCATGGGATATGGAGCCTATACCAAACAATGGTATGTGCCTATTTTCTCCTAGATGTACAGAAAGAGGATACAGAACTTAATGTGTGCAGATGTGATAATCTGGAAAGCTGATTTTGCTTTAAAAGAAAAGAGAAGTAGTTTTGGTTAATGAAATGATTAATTTCATTTTGTTTAATGCTTCTGGTTTTCAGGACCGTTGGGTTTTATTGGGCCAAAGTATTGTGAACTCTTTAGAAGCGGTAGGAAGAAAATAATAATTTCAATTATTAAGCCCCTTTTTTGTTTGTTTAGATTAGCATTAGTCGTAAATTGCCTAAAAGGTGTGAAAACCCACACATAAAGAGGTTGGGCTTATTAGTTAAGCCAAAAATTCTGGTCCTGTATTATTTTTATCTTCATAATATCATGTGATTAGACTCCCCAATTTTGTTGCTGGAGAATAACAATTCTTATGCTGCTATCAGGATAGTCTTTTTAGTCCAGAACTATGAGCGAAGTTAGCCATCTATCTTGGCAAAATATGCTAAGTGAAACAGAGAAACCTGTTCATAAATGGATTACTAATTAAAACAATTCCTACATTTTTATAGAAAGAGTCTATAATTCAGTACCTCATGTATAGAAGTGTGGGAACAGTTGCTATAAAGGAACAGTGATTCATTATAACTTTTAAATAATACTTTGCATTATTTCATGTTGGGAAATGTTACTATTCTCTTTCCTAACTACGTTTCTTTTTTTTGTCTGCTGTTGTTATGTATTGGGCTATTAAAGAATCTCTTTTAGTCAGAAATGATGAACTGAATTTGGCCTAAAGAACAAATCCAGCTGCTGTGGGCCATAGGAGTAGGATAACAACTTTGAATGTCATTTAAATTTCAATCCTTGATATTTAGTTCTCTAGAGAAGTCACAGGGAGTCATTGCTCCCCATTTTCTCTAGAGAGCAACTGGATTTGCATGTACCTTTTACATGCATAGGGAAAGTGTACTGGAGAAATCTAATACAAGAGGAATTTTCCCCACCAGGTAAGTTGTTTTGCATTAATAATTATTATACCTAATGCTTTATTTCAGCTGTATTTCCAGAGGAACTTGGAACTAGCGTTCCTTTAACTGATACTGAAAGCAGATCGTTAATATACAAACCTCTGGATGGAGAATGGGGTTCCAGAACTCGTGATGATGAATGTGAAAGAATAATTTCAGGGATAAATCAACTGATGACTTTAGGTAATAATTTTACTTAAAGCAATGCACACAAATACACCACACATACCAGCTCTCTAAATAAAAGTTTCAATACAAACATTTTCAAATCAAATTTAACTCCTGCTAACTTTCATAAAGATATCCATATAGTTTTCTTGGCATGATAAAGAAATGGTTTGCAATTGCCTTCTTCCAAGGTCTAGATTGCATCCTAATCTAACCCTCATCCCTGGAAGTTTGTCCCATCCAATACTAACCATAATCAACTGGGCTGAACCTTGCAGATCACCGAGATTGGCTGCATACGGCCACCTCGGTGAGCAAGTAACAGTTTTTCTTGTATTAGATAATTATAAAATCTAAATCTGGCTTCTATGTCTAATTTCTTATTTAAATCACTTGCTGAAGTAAAACAAGTTTTAGGACGCATTTCTAATATGGTGATCATTTTTTTGCAGAATAAAGACTTTAATGAAATATTAAAGAAAATTCAGATACTTGTACTAACCATGTTTAAACAAACTGTGTTTGTTTAATGCTCTTGTTGCTTTAACATACATACACAACATTTGTTTATTTATTTGTAAAAGCATTGTTTTTTGAAATCTAATAACATTTTATTGTAGATATTGCTTCTGCTTTTGTGGCACCTGTGGATTTCCAGGCTTATCCAATGTACTGCACTGTTGTTGCATACCCCACTGATCTCAGTACAATTAAGCAGAGATTGGAAAATAGATTTTACAGGTTTGTTCTAAAGTTCATTTTATTCAAACTTTGTGTATGCCACTTGCATTTCCTCATTATATACATTATATGAATTTAATGCATTAAAACATTAATGCATAGATTTATTACTATAATATTTTTACAATATCACTTTAGGGGCATTCTTGATCTTGTATTTAATGTTTTCCTATGTGATTTTGTTAGTATCCATTGATCTTAAAAGCAATGTTTTGAAACTGCTTAAAAGTTGAAATTAGGAAGAAGGCTATTTCAATGATAATGCTAAAGCTCTAGAATTTCATTCCTAGAGAAGTTTGTTGCATTTCCTCATTAATGACCAGGTGAAGACTATAATTTTTATATGTGCTTTTTACTTGGTTTCCTTCCCAAGTGCCCTAATAGGTGCATCAACTTATATTGCCAGTTTATTATCTTGAAACTGGTTTTTGTCTTAATCTTTAGTAACGAATATTTTACTAAATGGTAAACAATGTTTTTTTAAATTAAGTCTGTTGATAAAAAATAATTGATTAAATGAAAACATAGGCAGTGAAAGCTTTGTTCTGTAACTGTATTTAGCAACCTAATGTTATCTACCCAAGAGACCTGTAATAACAGTATTTTCAGAAAACTGTTTTATATCAACTTTTGAAGTGTTCCCTTTAAAGCACTTCATGAATTTTAACCAATAGTATTCAAGAACACTTGAAGCTATTTATATTTGCATATATATTTTCTTCTTCTGGCTACCGAGGAGAACATTTTTAGTGCTGGCACTTCAGATAGGAAATGTTCTTAGTTTGCCAGACATTAGCTTTATGGTCTTTCCAGTGCAAATTTTTCTTGCAATCTTTTTATTTTCAAATTGTATTTTATATTTTAGGGACTATGTAATGATTGCGTATGTCCCAGGGGGTAAAAACACTATGAAACAATATAACTCAAAAAAAAGAGCTACATTTTACTTGGATTTCCTAGTTTTTGTAATATATAAATAAATCTGTAGCTGTATTCTAGGTTTTTGGTAATTAAAGGGAAACAAAATAATTTATTAAACATTTGTATCATGGGTAACTAAAATTGTGTCTTAAAGTTACAATAATGTAAAAATTTCAAGTGTATAGTAATACTGTGGGTTTTTTTTAATTTCAAAGGCGACTTTCTACCCTTATGTGGGAAGTTAGGTATATAGAATATAATACACGGACATTCAATGAACCAGGAAGTCCTATTGTCAAGTCTGCCAAGTTTGTCACAGATCTCTTGCTGCACTTCATGAAGTAAGTTAAGAAAGTTCAGAGAACAAATTTTAATATAATTTAGCATTTTTAATTTGTGAGTGAGATGTATATTTTACGTATTTATAGTTTATAATATGTTTACAAAGGAAAGAATGCACTAACTATGCTGGTGAATACCTTGTGTGTATTAGCACTTGAAACAGTTGCAGACAGGTAAACTGAGATAATTCACACCAGGCCTTAATCAAAGGTTTCTCTGCTCCAGATTTGTCTCACAGTGAAATTTAGAGCCTCAAGAAATGTCCCTTTTCCTTCAATATTAGAGGAAAGGGATAGATACTCTTTATTCAGAAACTCCCATGACTCTTTAATATTCTTAGTAGAATCAAATAATTAGTTTTGTCCAGAATTAATAACCAAGACTACAAATTATTCCACTTGCATCATCACCACTGAATGGATACAGACTGAATTGGATCACATCTTTGGACTGAGAAATCTAGTATGAATTGCTATAATAGTATGTTTTGTCTACACGATGTTATAGGTTAGTGTTCTGTTACAAATTCTTCACTGAATTTCTTATGCTCAGCAGATTCAGAGTTTTGGTATAGCACAGGCCCTTAACTCATCAAGACACACAGAATCTACACTACTGTTCTTCCTGCTCTTAAAGCACAATTTTCTGAAACCATCACTGTATCCCAGATACATAATGATTATTACTCTTTGCACTCTTGTTTAATATACTATCCATCACATGGATGAATAGCACCAACTCAGGTGAAGGATGAAAATGCTGCCTAATGAAGCATTTCTTGAGCTGCTTGAATTAGTGAATGTCACACGTTTTCTACAACTGAATGGAATAAGTTCATCTTTTACTGCTGCACTGCAGCCATTGCAGTTGCTGTAACTGCCTCCCTTATTATCCCTTCTTCTGAAAGCCTCAAATCCTTCAGCTCACTGAGTTATGCATATTATGATCCATGTACTTTGGGATGTAAGGAATTATTAGATGCTAATGAATTAATTTCTGGGTTTTCATATGAATTAAAATACTTCTCTCACCATTCTTTCCTAAATCCAGGAATGAATGTATATGTTTCCATGAGACCTCTATCCCTATCCTTTTTCATAATCCCTTGTTAAAAGGGATTATGAAAAAGACCAGTTTATTTTTAGTATTTGTCAGAGACAAATATTGCTACTATTCACATTTGCTAAGTAAATACTGCTAAAGATTATTCCAAGTTACTCTAGCATTTTGGCAACATTATTAGAAGTGTCTTGCTACTGGAACCTTTCATGCTTGCCCTGTTTTTCTTTATTCAGCGTTACTTATTGTATCATATCTCTTGGAAGGACTGCTTTGTTCATTTATTTATAATAATTTTTAGTACCTACCTCTCAATTACACTTTTTTTTAAAAAAACATGACTTGATTTCTTTCCTTTGGCTGAATCTTTTGGTTATTATGTACAAACTCAACCAGTGCCCTTCTGCAGGTATATTAACCTCCTATTTAACAGTTATGTATCAGGTTTTTTAAATATATAGATTTTTTTTAATGCTGTAGTATACTGGAGTAGAAAAATATAAAGTAGCGGATGCAGATAAGTTCATTAATGTATAGTGTTTGTTTTGAACAGGGATCAGGCCTGTTATGATATAATCCCACTCTATAATGCCATGAAGAAAAAGGTCTTGTCTGATTCAGAAGAGGTAAGCTAATTTAACATGCAATACATTTTTAAATAAAGTGGTGATTTTGTTTCAATATTGTATAATCTATCCTGTTTTTCAGCCCAATAATGCAACGTAAAATTAATACTGGCAATAGAAATAAAATAGAAAACCTTAGACAACAACCTACACAACAGAATTTTAATGCAGTATAAAATCTATATTGGGAATACATCTTTAGATATGAATGCCAGTTATTTGTCCTTTATAAATACTTGTTAGTAATTTCATGTATGTCCAGTCCTTACGCCCATGTATGGCTGTGCCAAATCTGGGTACAGGTCAGTGGTGGGATTCAAATATGTGAACAACTGGTTCTCTGTGTGGATGCCGCTTCTGGAAGTCCATTCCAGGCCTGGGCAACAAAAAATTAGCTACTGGTTCTGCCAAAGTGGTGCGAACTGGCTGAATCCCACCACTGGTACAGGTAGTTTAGGGACTACGATTGAGACAGAAAATCACATGACCACAACTGTGCTAAGGATTTTACTTCAGCTTTCCTTTCTCTCCATTACCGTGCTGTATGGAATGCTCACTCCAGTGCTTGGACAATTAGCAAGAAGGGAATTAATGTTTGTATTTATATTAATCGAAGACGAAGCGATTATAAGGAGTAAGCAGGCCACAATGAGAAATACACATAGAAAGGAAACTGTCTGTCTAGCTCACCCCCACTCCACCCCCCCTTACTAGGCAAACAAAAGCCAAAGCTGTGACATGATTAAAATCTTACAAGCAGTAGCAGTGAGGTGGCTGGTTAAAGTTATAGAGCTGAGCTTGTTAACTTGCAGTTAGCACCTTTTAGAGAAGTGCTGGGGAGAAAAGCAGCTCAGGAATAGGTCACTTGTCTAAACAATTTCTACAAGGTGGGGAGAAAAGAAAAAAATGGGTCAGGCACAGGACATTGTGTATGAGCTGACTGCAGTGGTGAACATGTGACAGAAGTCGCAAAGGTTGTAAATGTGCATCTTAGTCCCAAAGTTATGCTTTTTGGAACCATTGCAACTTGTGTTGCTACATAAGCTGGTTGATAAGGTGTAATTTGGTAAAACCTGCATTACATCTCCAAGTATGTAAGCCTTAGGGGTTCTATCTGCAAACTCATTTTATTTATTTGTAAAAATCTCAAATGTTAAAATAATAGTTGATTTTATAATAGGTCATTGACATTGTCTATACATATTTTAAATAGTTTAAAAAAAAAAACAAACAGACGCTTTAAACTCAGAAATGGCTTTAATTTGTCATGTACTTTTTTAAAAATTGGCCCTGTAGAATCCCAGAGTTAATATTGAGATTGTTTATATATGATTATAATTGGAAGAAACCTTCTGAATGTTTATGATGCTGCAGTTTTCATAGTCATAGTATTATTTTCACATAGTCAGTCACTGCAGATGAATTACTGCTTTATGATTCTTTATGAAGGTATAACGAAAACTAGAGTAGTACCAAAGATTCGTGTTATTTTTATCCATAAACTAGTTTCCAGAATCCACATGCTGAAAGTTTAGTAAGGCATTCCCTTATTTTGTTTTGCTTTGCTTTTTTTGTTCTGCTTTTATTTATTTATTTTTCCCTTTTGGTTAAGCTTTGAAAAATGGATTGTATAATTTGTACTTTTGTAGTACTGACATCATATACACACAGAAGAGAGAAATGCTGAATCTAGTAGAACCAACTGTAGTAAAATGTGGTCTGTGCCCAGTGATAGACAAACAGAATTGTATTGTGCATTGATATTTTCTCTCCAAAAACATGTGACATCTATTTACCCACCATCACATGGATGGAAGGATGGATAGGAGGAGAGATGAGATTCTGTTGCATTTTTGTCATTGGACAAAAATAATTGGATTACAATCAATGGGTTGTGCAGTTGCCATGTATGTTTTACCACTCAATAAAAATGCAGAAGCACGTATTTCTTAGATACAAATTTAAGAAGGAACTATAAGGTTGTATCAAAGTGAAATATTTTTCAAAGCTGAGTATTTCTACATCATATAATGGATATTTTGTTGCCCAAAGGAAGAAGAGAAAGATGCTGACATGCCAGGAACTTCCACTAGAAAGAGGAAGGTAACTTTTGTTTTAAATCTGTATTTCTGATTTGATAATGTGCATTTATAACCTCTAAGCTGCCCAGAGTCACCTTGTAGGGGAGATGAGCAGCATAAAAATGTAATGAATAAAATAAAATTTTGACATGGTAGAACTCTGTTCACATAGCACAAATAATCCACCCATTCCATATCTCATTTAACTAGTTTTATGTACCAAGAGCACAGAAGATAATAGTATTAGAAGTAACCTCAGAAGTTAATCCTTGCTCAGTGTGACTTCCACAAAGGCATTTAAAAAGATGGCTATCCAGCTTCTGCCTAGTGAAACAGAGCTTGGGGACATAGAAGAGGCAACAAGATTCATGAATCCAGGGGAGGGTAGAAGTGTGAACTAGTATCAAGTGCCCAATAACCAGAGACCCAAAAGTAACTCTCTCTTAATTACACTAGCTATTGGTTGTGTAGGAGAGTTATTTTAATAGGCTTTCGAGATTCTATTATATTATCCTATTAGCATTTAAGATATTTTCAGAAATCCAAATGGTTCTTTTTTTCTGAGGTTGCTGCCCTTGCTTTTGATAATGCTTTTTGAAGGTGCCCAGGAAGGCAACCTATTCCACTGGTTGATAATTCTTACAGTCAAGTTATTTTTCTGATATCTAACCTGAATCAATTGCCTGTAGTATCAATCCATTAGTTCTGGTCCTGTCCTCTGGGGCAACAGAAAATAATATGCATCTTTCTGTCTTCTCTAGACTAAACATTATTCAGTTCCTTTAATCATCCTTCCTAGGATTTGGTTTCTAGTTTCTTCATAAACTTGCTCAGGTGTACTGATGTCTTTTTTCTGCAGAACTTGACATAATTATCTTAAGAGGGACATAACTAAGGAATGGGACAGTGGGGCAGTTTGTAATATGGACCCTGTGCTTCTTTAATACAACCCAAAATAGCTTTTTCCATAGCAAAACTTTTGGCTCATACTTTTGGTTCATGTTCAACTACCATGTACTACTGTCTATCCTTTTGTAGCGTTACCCCCTCAGAGGCCGCCAAAGCCAAGGCCCTCACAGCCCTGCTCCCCTCCGTCGCGCTCTGCAGCTACCCTCTCAAGGTGTTAATAAAGTGTCTTTTGCACAAATAACAGTAATCAAAGTTCGGATGGCCACTGGTCTCCAAAGCAATAGTGACCAGCCTCTCCTTCTCTTCTGTCATCGTTCGCAGTCTCAGGTCTTGTTGATGTCAAAACCCCTCCCCCCTTTCATTTATTGTTAAAAACTGAATTTAGCAAACCCAGCAACTTTCTCTCTCCTCACTCTTTCTCTTGCCTCCGCTGAGGATATCACCCCCCACCCCAAGAAAGAAGCAATAAAATTTTCACTCTCTCTCACTCTCTCCTTCCCTCTCCTTCTGAGAAAGGGATCAGCTAAAACCTCAAATCCCTCTTTGGCTTCACCTGGTCTCTGCCTGACAACAGCAACTGCAACCACCCACACCCCCTTTCTTTCCTCCCTTTTCTTTCCTTCCCGGCGCCCAAAACCGGCAGAACGTTGTCCAAGCTTCCCTCTCCTCAGGCAGGCTCACACAAAGCCTTTCAGCCAGCCCCGCTATACTTTATTTCTGCCTTTGATTTCTTTTCTCCCCAAATGCAAGAGCATTCTTCCTATTTTAGCCTAGTATTCAGGCTGTTTTTTTTTTATGTTCTCTTTCTATTGTAGGGTATTAATTTGGTCCTCCCAGTGTTGTGTCATCTGTGGATTTAATAATCATCCCCGGATGCTGTCATCTAATCCTTTGATAAAATGTTTAAAAGCATAATTCTTAAAACAGTTTGCCAGAGTCACTTTTCAGAATAAGATGGGTCATATAAATTTAATAAATATATTCTACCCTATGCCCATATCTGATATGGAGCTACTTAAAAGTACTTTGTAGTCATGACCAAGCTGTCTCAGTCAATGCTACGAAGGAGGTTCTGAGACCGTCTCGTTAAAGAAAAATTATGTGCTAAATCAGTACCATAATTTTCACACACTCGATGTCTGAAACTCAAAGACATATTTTTATGGTATCCCCACAGAATTTGTGTCATTCAGAAGGAACAGTTAATTGTCTAATAAATAGTTCACATCACATGGAGAGGGTTAGTAAAACTATAAATAAGGCTGAATTAATTTTAGGCTAAATCAAATCTCTTCTGATTTAATTGGTTGAGTCAGTTCAGATTTTGAGTCTGCATGACATGCCTTCCTATTCCCCATCTGTGCATCTATGTCTTTTCATATCTCATATTTGTGTATTTAATAATTATAAAACTAATTGTTACATGATAACTTGGTAATTATAAGTTGGAATCTCAGCAAGGCAAGATGTAATAAAAGATGGTAACAAAAACATAATAAAAGCTGTTTGAAATTCCCATTACAGGATCATCAGCCAAAAAGAAGGCTGCGTAACAGAGCTCAGTCATATGATATTCAGGCATGGAAGAGACAGTGTCAGGAATTGTTAAATCTGATTTTTCAGTGTGAAGATTCTGAACCTTTTCGCCAACCAGTGGATCTTATTGAGTATCCAGTAAGTATTGAAAAAAGCTAGCATTATACTGAAATATTTGTCTTAAAAAAATTGAAGTAAAAAAGAATGGCTATCCTACTTTTAAAGTAATTAACAAATATTTAAAAATTAGGTATTTACATGTGGATTTTGCTCTTGGACTTGCATGGTTTGGTTAAAGATTTATAATTTTTACAAAGCTTTTACAATAACAGTACTGTTGTACTATTCTTATAGTCTTATTGTTGATACTGATTATTGACATTTGTGCTTTTTAAAAGGATTACAGAGACATTATTGATACACCAATGGATTTTGCAACAGTGCGAGAAACGTTGGAAGCAGGAAATTATGAATCGCCAATGGAGCTGTGTAAAGATGTCAGACTGATCTTCAGCAATTCCAAAGTTTATACACCATGCAAAAGATCAAGAGTATGGTTTCACATTTTACATCTAAAATGTTTTAATATTGCACCATGGGATGTGTTTACTCCTCTGAACGTTAATTATATTGGTTATATTTGATATGGCTAATAGAAGTATAGAGAGGTTCTACAATCCATTTTGGATTTGACTTGATAAATGGTTCTAGAGCAAGATTTGGAAAAATAAAACTTCCTTTCATAATAATTTAGCACAGGGAAAATATTGCAAAAAGGTAAAGGCAAGGGATGAAGCATACCAAATCTCATAGAAAATAATGCAGAGCATTACCATCAACTAACTTAAAAATCTGTCTCTCTTTAAATCTCTGATATTTCGTTTTGCAAAGATTTGGATGACACGTGCAATGATACTAAAGATTGTGGAGGTAAAATTTTACACAGATAAAATGGGGAAATTGTAGAGTTGGGTTTTTTGGAGATTGAGTCAGAAGCTGAATTATCATCAGTCTTTTCATTAACTATTGATGAACATAGTACTATGAAAAACTGCCAGAGTTTTACTTTCAGAAGAAGCATGGGTAGTCCCTTACCAAATGTGAAAAGCGTAGAGACCATATTAATAGAAGGAGAGGAAGCATTTTTACTTTTTTCTTGATGGTGTGAATTTATGATTGTTTAGAGATGAATAATGGGCAAACAGAAGAGATTTAAAAATAGATAGTTAACTTCCTTCCCTTCATTTTCTAATGTGGGCAAGAGTTTTTGTTTTATTAGCTTAATTTTTAGCACACTCCAGAAAGTGTTTAAGTCAAAATATTGAAGTATGCAGAAATGTTTCACATTGAAATGTTAAGGCCCTGAAATGCTCTGTTTTGATCTTAGGTGACGGTTAAATCTGTCAAAAATTTATCCAAAGTCGAACGAGTTACTGCAACTGTAAAATAGGTCAGAATGGTCATTCTTGGCTTCTTCTGGCACTGTCAGAATGAAGTTTGAACACTTTCTTGGAGTTTTAGTAGGACAGTTAAGGGTGAGACTGTTTTGACCTTGAAACATATTGCAATTATTAATGTCTACCTGAATCATTTTACATTAAATGTTTTATACAAAATTATTCTATATACTGGAATACTGTAGATTTTTTCATTTATTTTAGTGTGCTAGTATTTAATGTGGCACTGACAAATATAAACAGTTAAATTAGAAAATAGGGCAAGGCTTAGTGTGTGTGTGTTTTATTTATGAAATTTCTAGCCCACATTTTTCAGCACTGAAAACATTCTGACAGCATATATTGTATTGAAATGTAATGATGTTTGTAGGGGTCTCTTGAGGATGTCACGTGATATTAATAACATCAGCCTCTTTTGCTATGTTCATGGAAGTTTGGGGCAGGAAGTAACAAGAATCTCTTGAACTCTGGAGAATTTTCCAGGGATAAATATACCCATTTGGTCTGTGTGTGTGTGTGTGTGTGTGCGCGCACACTCATCAATTATAAATAAATTTTGTAGGCAGTAATTAACATTTTATGCATCCATTCAAGATTTATATCATCATTACTTGTTTAATTTTTAAAATAGATTTATAGTATGAGCCTACGCCTGTCTGCTTTCTTTGAGGAGCACATTACTTCAATTTTATCAGACTACAAATCTGCCTTACGCTTTCATAAAAGAAGCACAATTCAAAAGAAAAGGAGTAAAAGAAGTAGAAGCAGTTCTCTTTCAAGTAGTGCTGCATCAAGGTATGATAACAGTTCTTTCAATTGTATTTGAGTTGTATCAGTATTTTAATACTACTTTCTATAAGCCTTATATATTGTGTAAAAAGTGTGATGCCAATTTACTTCCTTGAGTAGATTCAGGTCTAGCTCCCTTTCTATTTATTTAGGCACCACTATAATAGTAGAGATTTTTGAGGGGCAATTATTATGTATTTATTTTTTATTCTGTCTTTATTATTTTTATTAATAACTTATAAAAAATAATATAAAGACAGTGAACACACCTAATATTCTTTCTTCCTCCTGTTTTCCCCACAACAACCCTGTGAGGTGAGTTGGGCTGAGAGAGAATGATTGGATCAAAGTCAACCAGTCGGCTTTCATGCCTAAGGTGGGACTAGAACTCACAGTTTCTTGGTTTCTAGCCTGATGCCTTAATTACTAGACTTTCATGTCATAACTAGCATTTCTGACCATTGACTAGGCAAAAGCTCAAAATACAGAACACTATCGTAAATATATTTTAAGATATTTGAGTGGTAAGAGTTCAGTGAGAAGATGGAATTATTCTGAAATTGTCCCAAGTGATAAAAAATATGTTCAATCTCAGCATAAAGGCCTTATGATGGAATAAAAGGCCTTATGATGGAAAGTTTAACATTTTAAGTTGTGAATTATATTCCAGGATGGAGCATTCTAGAGATGGAACGACAGTGGAGATGATTCTTTTTAATTAGCTATCTTCCAATATCTTCCAACTATCCAGTTAGGATAGGGTTTGGGGGGGGCAAGGGGGGAGCGACAAACTTAACTCTAAGCCGGATATTGTGTACTTCTTTATTTGCTTAGGATTTGAGCTTTTTGGATATTTGAGAGCATTTTGAATTCTAGGGAAACCAAAAGGAGAGAGGAAAGTAGACCACATCTGAATTAAATCTCCACTGGAATTACTCATGGATTAAATTGGTTGATGACCAAAGCATATTATTACTATTAATAAATATTGTTTTTATTTTACTCTATAAAATAGCATCAGTTATTGGACTTGTCATCTATTTTTAGTCCGGATAGGAAACGAAGATTAATAAAACCGCAGCTGAAAGCTGACCTCGCCACTACACCTTCTTCTTCTGCGCCTGCACGTCCAACTTTATTGAGAAACATAGCAGCTCAGATGAATGGGAAAGTTGTTGACTCTGCGAGTTTGGTTCGAACAAGAAGTACTAGGGCAATAACCGAAACAACTACCAATGAACAACCTTCTACTTCTTCAGGTGGAAAGCCTGTAACTTTGAAGCCTAATAGTGCCGCTACATCAGGGAAAACAGGTGAACTAATTGATAAAATAATTTTAATTCTAAATTTGCCTTACCATGATTTCCATTATAGAATCAGAATCTGTAGTGTAGGGTCGTATTCATGATGTTCAGTTACAAGGGAGTTTTGCTTGGAAATGGTAACTTTCTTAGAGGAGCTTATCAAGAACTTTTTAAATAGTTTTGGTTGGGACATTTGTTTGTCTACATTAGACCTATTGTTGCTGTTGTTACTAATTATTTCTTAATGGGCACCCTCACTGCATATTCATTGTTAGTTTTTTAAAGGGGGTATTTTCCTGAGCTTGTACCTTTGGATTAAGGGGGCAGTAACACTCTGCCTCTGCCTCCGTAATATTTCCTGAACTCGAATAATTTCCTGAATCTGCACAGTTACTGTGTTAGCTCAGGACAGATACAGCAAGAATGCTAGATCTGAAGCACCTTTGCTCATTTTGGATCCAAATACTACATTCTATAACAATACAAAAAGATAATAAAAGAGTAATTGTGTAAAGAGTAAAGCTTTAGTAAAACTTACGAAAAGAGGACGAGCAAGTAAAATAGCATCTTGCTTCGCATGCACTTTATATATATATTCCATATTGAAAACATTAATTTTATTAGTGAGCAGATACGCATTAGATTCTAATAAAAACTTACCCTCTTTTTTTGTCTAACAGTACTAGAAAATTCTACCAAACATTCCAAGAACCAGAATGTTTTACCAGTCCCTAATCAAGCCAATTATATCCATAACACTAGGAATAATACTGCAAGAGAAAATTTAGAAAAAGATAAACAAATTAAACGTAAACCAAAATCAGCTATGGTCAATCCACAGGGTAAGTTTGTTTGAATTGTATTGGTTTGTTTATTGTTTATTTGTAAGATCAATAACATCTGTTAAAAATATAGTAACAAAATGCAGCAAGAACCTGACCAGAAAAGCGAACTCTACAAAATCATGCTTTCCTCTCCCAAGCCTTTGCTATGATCAGTGATATCAAAGGGCCACCAAGACATCCAGGGTCACACTGCCATTTGTGTCCTGATGCAATTCCTCTTCAGAGAACCAGATATCTGCCTCTACCTCATTGAATATCCTCCCTCTTTTCTTTTCTGTGAGATACAGGTCTTTCTCACAATTCTCACATCCCTCAAGGGGGCTGCATTTGCTATAATTAGTCTGTGGCATATGATGTTGGAAAATAGATCACATTAGTAAAAAGTAATGAATGCATTTGATAATACGTATGCTGTGAAACTGAGACTGCCTACATTTGGAGTTCAGCAGGTTGATCGCTCCAATTCAGCATTTTAACCTGTAAATTTAATTTAAGGTTTTGAAAGTTGTCTGTGCAGTTAAAATGGCTGCTATGAGTTACTTACACAATTGCTTTGTTGTTATATCAGATTGCAAGAATAATGCAATGGCTTTGGCCTTGGGAAGCATCCAAGTAAATGGACATGGGGAGCAATCTTCAAAACCTGTATTTAAGAGGGGTCCTGGACGGAAACCCAAGATTGAGACCAACAATACGTGTGAAGTGGTGCACAAGAAAAGAGGGAGAAAACCAAAAACTCTGTTACTTGCTGAACAGAAACATTCAGAGGAGCACAGAAACCAGACTACGAAAGATTTGATAATGGAAGAAGCCTCTGTTTCTACTGCATGCAATTCTGTCTCTGAAAACAATGTGAAGGAAGACTTGTTACAAAGAAAAGGGCGTGGTGGGAGAAAACCTAAAAGAAAACTACAGGAAGATCAGCCAGAATTTGAACTTACTTTTTCTCCTGATCCTAAGATTCAGACAAGAAGCAGGAGGAAAAAGACAGATGAGCCTATTGAAGAAGAGACTGAGGAATGTAAAGATTCTGAACCTCATATGAGAACTAGAAACCAAGGTAGGAGGACAGCCTTTTACAATGAAGATGATTCAGAAGAAGAACAAAGACAACTGTTGTTTGAGGACACTTCTTTGACTTTTGGAACATCTAGCAGAGGCAGAGTCCGAAAGTTGACTGAAAAAGCAAAGGCTAATCTGATTGGTTGGTAATTTTGGCATTTAAAAATGCTAATAAATAGGTACAGTTAAGAAATTCCTAGACCTAAGGGTATCTGCTTTCTGCTGCTATTTACAGATGAGAATATGTTCTAATATGATAAAATATAGCAAAAATAAACTGAAAATTTCTTGAAAGAAGTATGTATTTTAAACAACTGCTATTTATTGTTCTCCGAATAGGTTATGCATTTCAATTCAGTATGTTCAGTTGGTATAAATACAATTCTTGATTTCCAGAAATGTTACTGTAATTTTGAGCAGTACATAAACCTCTATTTGAAAAGTAGAATTTTTACTGTAAAGATTGAGAACAGAACTCCTATTTTTGAATGAGCAAGGTACAGTACATTTGTATAGATTGTAGAGAAACTGTATTTGCAAAATGATAAGAGTATGGCACTAAATGCCATAGAGAACAAAATTACCAAATTTGCTAATTAGGTACTACTTATTCAATAGTGATTGGGCACAGTTTTATACAAACACAGGGCAGATCATTTTATCTAAGTTCTGCCAGAGAGAGAGAGAGATCACATATATAGATATATAGATAAATATATATATATATATATATCCACATTGGAAAAAGTTTGACTAATACGTCTAATTTTTCAGACCTTCATTCTTGTACCAATCATATATCTCTGTTTATTGTGCCAAAGACTGAGAAACAGAATAGAAAAAAAAAACTTTTAGTATGAGTGCAACATGATATTTTCAATTATATTTATCACTCCTTGTTCAAAGTATACATTATTCTGGAATATTACCTCTACTGGTATGCACTGGTAGACTCTTTTGACAGATATTGAAACAAAATATAATTTGATTAAAGGGTTCAGTTGAGCTGCAGGAAAAGTGTGAGACTCTGATGTTTATGTTATGATCAGATCGATTGCTTCTATGAATTGTGTTAAACTGACAAATTATTTTCAAAAGAAGTTGATGTGTATGTATATATTGAGTATATACACGAGCACATAAAATTAAATTACCCAGGTATAATTTTCTTTCAGGATTTTTTAGATTGCTCTAGAATATTAAAAAATTTAAATGTCAGACTTTAAGGGGAAGATTGGTTGTTTTTCATTATTAAAGATAAAAAGGCCAAATCACTTTTTATGCAATCATATTTTATACAGTGTTCTCATTGCACATTGTTTTTCTGCACTTTTTACAGTATACTTAAACCAAGCTGACATGAGTCAATATATCCATCTTAAAGGAAAATCCCACTTTATGATTGTGCCTTGTATTCTATTATTTTGTGCATCTTTTGTAATCTTAAGTTGTCTATTGTAAATGATGACTGTATGACTTAGGGGAATGTATTGCTGTATGTACTGCTACGGAAAAAACAGTTATTTATTTGTTTATGGTACATTTACTTATTTTATCCCTTTTAAAACCTTAATACAATTTTTATTGTTTAAAATCATAGTCCATTTAAAAATAACAGAGTAAAACAGTTGTATGGTACAAAAATGTAACCACACTTTTACTTTAACATTCTTGCAGGAAATGGGAGATGTGCAAAAGATGGCAATTTAATTTTGTTTGGTTTTATTTGGAAATACATTATCTAAAAATGCAGCTGTACAGCAGTGTGTTGCCTGTTCCAAAGATGCTTGGTATGATCAATTTTGACAGTACAGTTTGAAGAGTAAGGATCTGAATCTAGGCTTCTATGTTTTCACCGAATTCAGTGTTTTCATTCCTCCAAATAGATTATTGGCACTACCAAAGATTGTGGTATTGATCAGCTACTTGATCTTACACACAGTTGAAGAATTGTAGGTAGTTTTAGTCACCACAGCCAAATCTGTGCAAAGGAAATTTCAATTGAATAGAGTTCAGCACAGATGCAGGAAAGTTCATTGCTTGGATTGCAAATATATCTAATATTCATTCTGAACCTCAGCCAATTATGTGGCAACCCAATTTTAAAATATATATTTGGTTTAACCACAGAAACCTAGAAGCATATTTTTTTCTACATTCTTTTAAGCTAACCATATTTATAAGAATTAGAAATATGCATCATGTAAGAACTTGTTTCCCTAACTTAAAAAGTAATGTCATTATCATATGGCATTTTTAAAAAGTTCCATAGCACTTCATATTTCCACATTGTGATGTTTTGGGGACTCTTCATATTATACTGGCACAGGTCTCTTTGTATATTTATTTTCTTTAATATTTTAAAGAATCGCACATGCATATTTTAATACTGATTTTTAAGGGGAATGGACTTTTCTACTACGTTTTTTAAAAAACAAAACAAAATGTGTATTCTTGGTAACATTTGGAGGCATTAACCATGAAAGCATGACAAGTTGTGTACAAAGACAATTCATTTTACAGCTTACAATGAAAACATTGATTTAAATTATCCATTTTAGATTTAGAAATTTAAATTATCTGATTTTCTGATATTATCCATAATGGCGTATAATAGAAAGTTCAAACCAAATAGGAACTTATTGTTGTAGTCTTACTGCATTTATCATTTCCCACTTGGCATGTTTATGTATGTTGGTATAATTTTGGGAGAAAGAATAATATACATGACCATTACAGGACCTGAAAAGTAATTTTTTTACAAATGACAAAAATTGAAAGTCTTATTTGTAACACTTTCCTTTTTCCTGAAGAATTTATTGTAGTACTAAGAGGCCCTACTGTCCTTATCTTTTTTCTAATATTATTTGGGAATTTTCTTCAAAAAATAGTATCTATAACACTGTAGCTATGCTACTTTCTCTTTTAAATAAGATTAAGCGTGACTTGACTTCAATTTCTTTAATTGATTTGGTTTGATTGATTTACAAGATTCTTGCTGTACCAACAAAAATGATTTTCATTTAGCACATAGATAAGCAATAATTCATGGTTCGGTAATTTGTGATGATCTATAATAAAATGTGTTATAGATTATATTATGCTATCTTTAGGAAAATATATTTCTTGGCATATTTGCATAAAATATTTATGTACATATCACCTCTTGGTACTTATGGATACTATACAAATTATTATCTTACAAACTTGGCAGTAATAAAAGCAAATGTTTAATATAACCTAAAAAAGGATTCTGATACAGCATGGACCATTAGTTTCAAAATGCTAGCTACTTCATTATTTCATTGTTAGCTATGGTTAATATGCTGTGGTCTGATAGAAAGGTATTCCACATTCATTGCAAAATAGGTTTTTAACTTTAAAAATTGAAAAATTCCAAATTTAATAATAAAACTAGCAGGCTTGAGTTTTGTTTCCCGCAGTTATAATAACAACCAGCCTAATAGTGGATATTGAACAATGATCATTTTTGTTAGTGAGAAGTAATGAAGCGTAGAAAGAATTGTCTTCCTATATTGAATTGATTGTTCTAAGGTACATTTGCACCTAAGAGCAATCGATACTACAATTTGTACCATATTATCAATTTTATCAGTGAATATTACTTTATCTTTGTCAAACATTCTACAAGTCATGCTACATGTATTACATATCAGTTTTTAAATGGGCGTGTATATGTGTGCACACAAACAGATCTGTCATATGCTATAATACAAATGTTCTTGAAGTACCAATTTAGGATTTCAGTTACACAAGCTTTAATAATCTTAAATAACTTTACAAAGGACCCATCGGAGGGTCCTGAGTTTTGCTTTCTCTAAAGAGAGTTGGTCCCAGGGAGCTGAAGATTGTCCCCTCTGCTCTGACATAAACCCTCTTCCCCTTGATTTACTATATCTAATGAAGGTTTAGGGCACAATTCAGTCCACTTTGCATTTCTAGTTTGCGTCAAGAGGCATACAGAGGAGTATGCTTTGACCTATCCCCGCCATCTGCAAAACCCCCACAGGTGAACAGTTCAGTTGTGGGAATGCTGCATAGATGTAACAGGAACCGACTGGATCGGGCTTTTATTCTACGTTTTCATGTATCTGTTAATCTTGCACTTCATATAATTGGACCTAAGGATTCATCTGATAAAAGGGCTGCTCAGTTTCTACTGTAAATAATGTACAAATGTTTATATTTTAAAAATATGTACATTTCATATATGATGGCTAAGTCTGAATATCATTTCTAATATAAATCACTGGTCTTGCATTTTTAAGGTGTTATCTTTACACAATTTGTAGTTACAATTGGCTATAGAAAAACATCTTTCATGTTTTTGTTTTCAGTTGTTCAGAGCTCTTTGAAGAGAGAACTTTAATTTCAGAAAGGTTGAAAGATAAAATCTAACTTTATCGTAAACTCTGAAAGTGCTTATGTGGTTTATTAGTGGTTTTTGTTGTGCAAGGGCAACTAAGGTATTGAATTTGTCTGTTATGTAAGTTTCATAACAGTTCCCACTAGCAGAAGAGTCTACATTTCTGTAGGGATATGATGGGATTCAACTCAATATAGATTTTTAAAAATATAAAAGAGATAGGGTGGAGTGAAGACACTAATGGCATTATTTGTGGAATTACAAAAACCAAGCCCCAAATCTCTTTCTAAAAATGTATAATTTTAGGAATTATTTCTGTTAAACAAAAATAAATTAACCAATGACTTATTTTGCATAGATAGGAGATACTGAGTTTTAAAAAATACCTTTTTAAAATGCAGTTAAACACATCAAGAAACTGCTGTGATAGAAAATGAATTGTTGACAAAATGCTCTAGAAATTACTTATGAAATATTTGCACAGAATTTGTACACTTGCACAGATGGCATTTAACATGTACGTATCAGACATACACCTAAAGAAACAAGTTGTCACATTATTTGTTACATTTTTGGACCATCACTGCAAAAATCTGAAAAATAAGTTAAATCTGAATAATCAGTTCACATGACTTTTATTTTTAAATAAAACTTTCATCACTTAAAATGTGAAATATATAAAGTAGTACAATATAAGGAAGTTGTCTTGGAACATTTAGTTTTAAAACTGACACATTTAAAGCTATACTTGTTTTGTACAATATGTAAATCCCAGATACGTTTTATAATACCTTTAGGTTTTTTCAAAGTTAATTTCCCCTAGAAATTTCCTTAATTATACTATAAAGTGCAGTCTCTCACCTGGATGAACAGTGCCCTTTCTTTTTGTATATATATTGATTGAAACTTTTATTGTTATGTGAAACACTTATGTTGGTTTTGATGAATAATACTTGGAATCCTTTTATACAAACTAGAATGTAAGTGTAAGAATTACTGTCACTGCAATGTAGTAACAAACCTATTTTTAAATAAATAGAAAACTCGTTTTTCTAAGTTGTGCTGATTTCTGTCATTAATGAAGTTCTTGCAGGAGGAACAGTCAAGATTTCTTTCAAAAACAGTTGTATAGATAATGGAAGAATCAATTTTTAAAAAATCCCCTTCATGCTACTTCATCTCTATTTTAATGGAATGGGGCAACATATTAATTTCATTGCTAAATAATTTAGCTGTAGCTAATTAGAAATAGAAAACTTCAAATACATTTGTTCCCGTAGGTTTGCAGAATTTTGTTAAGTTGAATTTAGTACCAAAGGGGGAAAAAACAAATGGAAAATTCCACCCAAGCAAAAGGGAAGAAAAAATTATATTGTTACCAAGAAAACAACTTGACAACAATATAAATTGTTTGCTATTATAATAATCTTTTTATTTTCTCCTGTGATTAGTTTGAAAGATTCAGGATTTCTCATAATTGCAATTCAGTGTAACTTCTGAAAACTTATTTTATTTTAGATTTTTGTTTTGTTTTGTGTGGCATTTATTCTACGACGCTATCATCCTAGCATCCTAGGACGGATATTAAAGATTGACGTTATTAATCCAAGAGCCAATATACTTTCAGGAAATTTCAACTTGGCTGCCAGGTGAGTGTCGAAAGTATTGGTTGTGGAATATGAAATAGGTTTTTCCTATTA